TAGCTTGCCTCAGTTGTCCTATGCATTCAAGAATATTGTCAGAAGGTTATGGGTTCTAACTACAGCACAGTACTGGAGAGCAGTGCATTTCTGGTGCAAGTCGCTGTCCTTCAGATGAGACATTAAACATCCCATCTACCTTTTCAGGTGCATGTTAAAGATTCTGTGACACTATTGGAAAAGGAAAAGAAGTTTCTTCCAGTGCCCTTAAAAAGCATATATAGTTTCCAAATTAATACTAAAATTAAGAATGTCCCCACATTTCTCCATTTTAAAGTTTTTAAGACCACGAGGAAAAGTCTTTGTATTTGAGGAACAATAATGTTTACCTTGATGCTTATTGAGCTGCCCTTGAAAAACAGATAGGCTGACCTATTCTAACAAGAACAATCTGTCTCTTTCAATCCCCCTATCTGACTTGTTCACTTCACAGCCAACGAGCACTGATGCCACTTGTAACTAACTGCTGCTCCATCTTAGAACAGCTAAATCAGCATAATCCATGGACAGAACCTGTGACCTTCTTGTTGTTAATGTTGGTAATATTATATATAGTATTCAGTTAACAGGATTTCTCTGTTTCAGGGCATCAATATAGCAATTTTGTGTAGTTTGAATTTTATTCAGATTTTGTTACAAAACAAAGACTTTCAAAGTGACACTGGTGAAGCCACTTTTCAGGGTAATTTGAGCCTTTTTCAGTGAGATGAAAAGGGCTGATGGCTGTGCTACTCTTGTCACTGTTTGTGCATAACAGTGAATACATAACAATAACATTTATAATAATCCCTGCATGTGACATTGTGTCAGTAACGTCTAAATGTCTTAAAGTGCTTCATGGGGAATTGCTGTCAAGTGTGATGACTGTGTACTTTTAAGCAAATGGAATAGCTTCAGTTTGAAGTAAATTTGCTCAGAAACATGCTTTAGCCTATTTTGTACCAGAATAAAGTGTAGTGTTGTGCATGGGGTTTGGAAATAAGGATAAAATGAAAATTTGCTCCAAGAGTTAACAGATTGCCCCTCAGCCCTCCTTTAAGCCCTACCACCCAGTCCAGACTCCTTTTCTTCAGCTTCAAAATATCCGTTTCACCTACAATAGACCAAATACCTCATTCATCACCTCCACACTTGATTACTCCTGCTCTCTTTGCCAACCTTCCAATCTCATCCCTGTCCACAAGCTTCATCTCGTCCAGAACTATGCAGTCAGTATCCAGACTTCAGCAGCCTTTATCCTCTCCCACACTAAGTTCTGTCGGCCCATCACCTTCATCCTTCACAGGCTCCCCTGGTTCCCTGTTCCACTGTGGACAGATTTTCAAGATCTAATTCTGACTTTCAAAATGGCTCCATGCCCTTACTCCACCTAAAACAACACATGCCTCTGCAATCTCCTCTCTCCTCTCCCAATCTCTTCACTGAAAAATACCAAGCCTCAACATAATCACACCCCTGCCCCACCATTTCAGCCACTATGCCCTCAATCTCTGTAATTTTTTCCTCAACTCTATTTGCTTTGTTCCCTGTTTTCTAAATTCTTCTAAAAGCCAAGCCCCCTCTCCTTGCCCTCATCATCTGACACCTTCCTTGGGTTTCCACTCTGTCTCTGTAAATCACTTTGAGACACCATCTACGTGAAAGGCACTGTATAGGTCCAACAATTTTTGTAACTACGCATTGATATCTGTTCAGCTAGAACTGATGCTGCATTATCAGAGATACTGTTGTGTGGGCAGCAAGTTAAACTATAGTCCTGTCTGCCAATACATGAGGACGTCAGAAATCCCTTGACAGTATCGGAAAAGAGAAAGACAAGTTTGCCAACTGCCCTCTCAGAACTGACGAAGGGTGGTGGAGCCGAAACGTTGACTCACTTTCCTTTCTCCATAGATGCTGCCTGACCTGCTGAGCTTTCCCAGCGACTTCTGCTTCAGATTTCCAGCATCTGCAGTATTTTGTGTTTTGTGCTCCAAGGTAAATTGGCCGTGAGACCTTGATGTGCACAGATTGGCTGGACATGTTTGACTAAAATAGTCAGAAACATTCGCCGTTAATGATAACAATGATAATCCTTGCATTCAATATAGCGCCTTATCGGGCCCTCGAGACGCTCTCGAAGCGCTACGCAAGAATGTACCGCGCCGTGCAGAGACCAGCGTGCTTTGTGGGCGAAACCCGGCAGCCAGTTGCGCGCGGCGGCGCGCGGGGGGGGGGGGGCGCCGCCCCACTTGAACGCCGCCTTGAGACGCCGCGACGCGATAGGAGACGGGTACTATTAATAATAATAATAATCATCATCACGTCCGCGAATAATACGGTCAGCTCGCTCTGCTGCGGCGGGGTCGGTTCCGCGAGGCGCTTGGGGACGGCGTGAAAAAAGCCCTGTGACGAATGCGAGGATTATTGTCGTTATGGTTATTATTAACAATAATTATTACAGTGAGTGAGTGAGTGACAGACAGATAGACAGACAGGGGAGGGGGGGAGGGAGGGCTCAGGAACAGCCTGATGGGCGGGGCGTGGCGGGTCGGAGGGGGCGGGAGCTTTTGATGCCCGCCTTGTGATTGGATCAGGTGGGAGGCGGGGGGCGGCACTTCCGGTGGACGGACCAATCAGAGGCGCGGGTCCGGCGGGGATTCCGCGGGAGACGTCCACACGCGCCACACACACAAAAAAAGTGGGCGGGGAATCCCGGCGGCGATCCGGAGCCGACCTGAGCCTCAGCCCCCGGGGGCGGCGCCGGTAACCGCACACACACACACACACACACACGGTGCCGGGGGTATCTCCCCCCCCACCCCACCCCCCCCTCTCTCTCTCTCCCCCCCCTCCCCTCCCCCGGGGCGGGCAGCGCCGGAGTCAGGTAACGAGCACCGGAGTGGGTGGAAAACAGTAACGACGCGAGAGTGAGAGAGAGAGAAAGAGAGAGAGAGTGAACCGTCTCGGGACAAAGGAGCGAAACGTGGCCGCTCGGAAACCGGCTTGAGCCGGCGATCGCTGCACACTCCCCCCTCCCCCCCCCCCGTCCTCTCCTTTCCCCCCTCCCCCCCCATTCCTCCCCCTCCCCCTACATTCCTCCCCCCCCCATTCCTCCCCCCCCATTCCTCCCCCTCCCCCCCATTCCTCCCCCTCCCCCCATTCCCCCCATTCCTCCCCCATTCCCCCCCCCCCATTCCTCCCCCTCCCCCCCCATTCCTCCCCCTCCCCATTCCTCCCCCTCCCCCCCCCCCCCCATTCCTCCCCCCCCCATTCCTCCCCCCCCCTCCCCCCCCCCATTCCTCCCCCTCCCCCCCCCCATTCCTCCCCCTCCCCCCCCCCATTCCTCCCCTCCCCCCCCCCATTCCTCCCCCTCATTCCTCCTCAGGTCGAAATGGCCAAGGATTGTGTGCTCCGGGAGCACATTTAAACAGTCCCTCTCTCTTTCCCCCCCTCTGTGTTTTTTTAACCCCCGCCCCCCCCCTCCCACCCCCCGCCCTCCCTGTGCGGTTCTGCGCATCCAAACCCCTTCTCTGGATTTTTGTGCCCCTTTTTTTAAAAAAAAGTTAGGAACGCACCCCCCCCCCGACGGTGGTCTGGTTTTGGTTTCTTGGGGGGTGGGGGGAAAAAAACCGCTCGAGCTTCTGGTTCACCCTTTTTTTTGACACCGGATTTTTTGCCCCGACTGCAAAGGTTTGAACTTGCAGTTTGGTTAAGATTCAGTTGGAAGCTTTTTTTTTGGGGGGGAGGGGGAGGTGGGGGGTAAGATTTGTTGTGTTTGGTTGTTAGCTCTGGGGGTGGGGTTTGGGGGGGAGAGAGAGAGAGAGAGAGGAATTCTTCCCTGAATCCCTGTGGAGCATGAGTTGTGTGTGGAGGGCACACCGGGGGGAATCGCGCTGAGATGTGAGGCCCCTCAGTGTTTACGGCGCTGGTAAAGGTATTTGTGTGTTGGGTTGGGTTGGACTCCCCATCTCTGGAGACCGAGGCGCTGCTGAGGACAATGGCCAACCTGCGCCTCTGGCTTTTCCTGGGTCCGTTCTGGCCGCGAGTCGGATCGCGCTTCAGTCTCAAGAGGACTGAAGCCACGTCGGTACGGGGTGCAAAGTACCGCACAGTCTTTCTTGTCGGCTACTGTAAAGTTTACGGGACAGTCCGAACGAAGAAGGAGGAAGGGAAAATCCAGCCGCTGTGTCAGAACCCTGTGTCGGAAGTTAGTCTTTGAGCCCCACGGCCAGAGCCTCCCAGCCTGGAGCAGATGATCGAGTTAAAAGGGATAGATAGATGCCCGGAGTCATATTAATCAGGTTTTCAGTGTTAGCAGTGCAATGCTGTGTTGTGCATGCAACAGCCATCTGAATAGTGCACAAGACTCCTTGTGAATTGAGACCTCAAAAAAGTGTTCTCACTGGTTATGTTTGCAGGATACGATATGATTTGAGGAGCAAAGTACATAACAAATGCTTTTTACTGTTGTGCAGATGTATTTAATTGATTGCCTGAAATTTACTCCATCAGTGACATACCTGAAATGGAGTCTTAAGCAGCTCCAAATACTCTCTTCCCAACCACGACCTCAGAGAAAAAATATTTATAATTGACATTCGGGAGTATAAATATTTGATATGGATACCTTTTAACTTTGCTGAAATCCTAGTGAAAACAATGTGCTAGAGGATGTTTGTACCCTTGCATGTACCCAGCTTGAAATACATTCCTTTGGGAAAGATCAGGAGAGGGAATAGAAATGCTGGTGTTTTAATAATATTGCACGAGCAATGAGTGTCCAAACCAGCTTAGAGTAAGAAATGGGGAATTGTACTTGGGGTTAATATGAGATGTTTGTTTTATATGTGAACAATATAAAATGCAGGTTATTCTAAGAAGAACAATATAAAAGGTTACTGTCAAAGAACAGGTAATTGGATTGAAAGTAGATAGTTCCAGCAGGCGCAGGCATAGACCTAACATTGATGGATTGAACGGCTGCAATTTCTATGATTCTTGTGTGTTTCTTTTTCTAGTTCGGCACATGGACCCTAATCGGAGTCAGTCAGAGCCAGATTTCTCGCAGCAAGATACGCCCTGTTTGATTGTGGAGGATTCGCAGCCGGAAAGCATTCTGTCAGAGGATGATCCTGAGCACAGTTACCACCGCTTGCAGACCAGGTGCCTTTCTAACCTGCAGCCCTGCGTTCAGAGTCCAGTTCTGGTGAGTACACAGAGGAGAATATAAGCCTTTCACTGTCCTGCTATGTATAGACAATGGGCCTGACTTTTTCCTCTGGTAGAGGGATCCAAAACAAGGAGACATAATCTTAAAATTGTAGCTATGACAGTTAGATGTGATATCGTATCAGAAAACATTTAGTCATAGAGGGTCATGAAAATGTGGAATGCACTAATCTTAGAAGGCTGCAGAGGTAAAATCAGCTGCAGTGTTTAAAACGGATGTAACCAGATGCTGGGTAAGTAAGGTGTAAAGAAAGACAAAGAAATTAGATTAAATGATCTAACAAACTGGAGGAACTGACAGAATGGGCTGAAAGGCTTCTTCCTGTTCCTGTAGCTATCCATGTGAATAGGTCCAGTTGTAGTATAGTATCTTAGATACAAGCAGATGTAAGCAATGAGGACAAAGCAACATAAAATGTTTCAGAGCTGAGTGACTGGTTCGAAAATCATGCAACTTGATGATTGCTATAATCAGGTACATTCTCTGTTCACTATGGGTATTCCATCTGATGTCACGGAGTCCTGAATATCAGACAGTAGATTCTTTTTTGAAGTGCTGGGGTTTCAGACAACATCTGTATATGTTAAGGACTCCAAGACTCCATCCAGCATGAATGGGGGCTATATAAATGCAAGTTGTTGCTGTTGTATATGATCCCAATTAACTTGCCTCAATTTCTGCCTGTGTATCTTGACAAGAGCAAGGAAGTGAAGGGAAATCTGTACAAGATATTGGCTACACTGCAGATATTGGATTCATTACAGATGGGATGTTGTAGCCATGGCAAGAGTACAGTGGCGATTCACTGAGATCGTGACAGGCATGGAAGGTTATAATTAAGTGAAGAGACTTGGAAAAAATTGGGGCTTTTTCATTAAAGGGGTATAATTGTTTTTCAAAATTATGAATAATAATAATAACAATCCTTGCATTTGATATAGTGCTTTTCATGTCTTCTAGACGTCTCAAAGCGCTTCACAGAATATACAGTAAAGTGAATTGACTATATTTATGGGCAAAAATGCAGCAGCCAATTGCGCACAGCAGTGTCCCACAGACAGTCGTGGATTGAAGTCACCGATTTATTATTTTTTTCTTGATATTATTTTTGATAGTGTAAAATTTTGATAGCGGAATAATTTTGATAGCGTAAAAAGAGATTATTTCCACTGTTCAGCAAATCAGTAATTAGGATTATTGCCATTTTTTATGCTGAAGGGCTATTAGAATGGGGAGCGCATTTTGCCTACAAAACAGGATTATTATTATGAATACTACCGATGGCCATTGCAGCTATGTCTATAGCATAATTCAAAAGGCATCTGTATCAATATTTGAGGAAAAATTAATATTAAAAATTATGATGGTGGGGGTAAAGTGGGAGAATGGAATTAGAGTAGATATCGTCATTGCGGGAGCTAGCTCCAGCGCAAATGCAGTGGGCTGAATTGTGACTTTCTGTGCTGTGGGCATTCGGTGATTCTAACTGGAGTCTACCACTTTCCTGTCTCTGTGCTCCAGGAGCTGATCTCAGCACCGCAGTCCAGGAAAAGCTCAGGAGGAGGTGCACCGGTGGGGAAAGAAACGCCTAACAGAGGTGAGGGGTCTGATCAGCTGGTCAGTGAGTAAGTTCATACAGAAGACCGTGACAAGTGGTACTAAGATCCACTGTAAAACTAAATTTTAAAACCGGAGAAATCCCTGTTCTTGTTGGTGTTTGGAGATGCAGCGATGCACACAAGTTCCCATTGGTTTTAGTGCAGAATATTTCACAAATCGAATTATTGTTGTAAATTACACACTGGGGTTTCAAATGCGAAGGTTTATAATTGGAGCCGAAGAGCAGCTCCTACCAGTACCTGACTCGGGGGATGGCAGCCTGACCAGAAGTAGATCATGCTGGAACAGAGTTCCTGCTGGTCAGTGTGACCCATACTCCCGGTTACTGGCAGGGAATCTAACTCAGCCGGATTAAAGTTTGATCAGACGCTGATAGAAATACCAGTTACTCATTGCTGTGTGTCAGATTGGGCCTTCCCTCTTGGCTTATTGGGTGGTGTGTTACTGAGGAGCGAGGTCAGCTTCAATCCATGCTCTGTACTGAGGTGGGGTGAGTGGCCTTCACGTTTCTGGGCCAGTGGAATGCAAACATTTGTACCGTGATGAATAAATAGCTATTTGCCTTGTTTCAGTTGCTGGTGCTGGGTTGGCAGCTGGGGTGCAGAAGCCAGATGTGAAGCACACCCCATCAAGAGTTGAAGACTTACCACGACCCAATGGGAAAACCAGGTAACTGGAACTTGCACGGGCAAAACATTGCCAAGTCAGTTCACCGAGTACTTTTTTTAATATTAATATTTTTCTGCCTCATTTGTAGCTGCTAGACTCCCATGTGTTACCCTCTTGGTTCCCAGGTGTTCTACACACCCCACGTGCAGACATTTCTGAGAGATCAGCCTCTGAGGCACCATTACTGCTTAGCTCACCCTTGTGAGCAATGAGGTAAATATTTCACCTGGGCTCTTGTTAGGCTTGAGGCCTCCTCATCCCTTGTGCTTCTCTAGCTAGGACAGTGGCCTAACTGGGCTTCAAGCTCTTGAGTAGCTCAAGCAATGCCCCACTTTAGATGGGATGTCAAGGCCGTGGAAAGGGTACAGGTGAGATTTGATGGAATGATTCCAGCGTTTGGAGGCTTCACTTATGGTGACAGACTAGAGAAACTGGTATTTTTGTTGCTAGTACAGAGAAAGTTGAAAAGAGTTCTGATTCAGAAGAAATCCCAAATTTTTGGATGAGGTGAATGGGGAGAAACTATAACCACAGGTGAGGGAGTCGATAACCGGGAGATATCATTTGAAGATAAATACCAAAAGTCAAAGGAATAATCTATTACTCACAGAGAGTTGAAGTAGGACCACTGGGAGTAGAACCTGGGAACCTGCCCTTAATAAGTCTCAGTCCCACACTATGAGGTGCGATTAGCAACTGAGTCATCATGGAGCATCTCGCACTTTGCCTTTGGTTTATGATTTGATCAAGATGTAATTGAAACCGGATTGTGATTAACAGGAGTTAGAAATCAGCCCGCTCAGGAGGACTGGTAACTAAGGACCTATTCATGCTGTGGTCTTCTGATTTGTGATGTAGCGCCAGGCCTGGCCTTGTTTATTTGCTTTGCTGGTGAATTGCTCTCTGGTTTCCTAGCAACCCCACTGTGCAAAGCTGTGAAAATCCAGTCTCTGTGTCTGGCAAATAATCATGGATGTAAACAGAAAAATGAGGCACATCCAGACATTGAGTTAAAATCCCTGTTGGGTTTTGGTGAGCCCACAGAAGACAGGATGGGATTTCTTATGGCAGTAGCAACCAAAAGTGTTCCCTGTGGGGGGGCAGGATTGTGTTGGGGAAGAGAGAGAAAGAATCTCTGCTTGGTCTGGGCTTATTGCCAGTCTTACCTCTTTATAACGTGATTATTAATAAACTTTGATGAGGGCTGCTGTTTTTTCTATCTATCCTCTTCTCCCCGCCCACCCCCCCCATCAAAAATACTCACCTCTCACTCCCTCTTGTGCCTGACCCGTTCCTCCTTCTGGCCCTTGATACTTAAAGCCCTGGCTAAATTTTGTTTCATTTTTTCCCTCACTTCAAACAGTGTCCAGAACAATCCTGCCAGTCCGCACGAGGAGCAAGATGGAGGAGATGAAGTTGTTGATTCAACGACAGCCTCTTTTATGGCTGGAGGTAAATTCAGATGTGGTTCAGCGTTTTATACAGGAACAAATCTTCCCAAGGACTCGCTCACAGGATCGCTCGCTCTGCCTCTTACTTGGTTATTTGCCTTTATAACAAAATTCACTTTGATTTCTAATTCATTATATCTTGCAAATTGCGTATTTAAAGGCGTTTGAAAGGAGTTATATGACTGCAAGGTGTCGTTACTCTAGCCATTGCCTTCCAGTGGTCACATATTTCTGTGGCATTTAATTTATTAATATTTCTCTACCAAGGCTCCTCGGTGTCTTACGACCTTCTTGAGTCAGGGAGATGATATCTTGGGCTCTGGTTTGATGAGCGACAAACTTTTAGGGAACTCGAGTCTGTCCCCGATTCACACGGACACTTCTACCAATTGGGAGTTGCTGGGCAGCCTTTAATTGAAATTCAGATGAATTGGCCAGTCTCTTCCCCATCTCTTAACTCTTGCAGTCCACACAGCCAAGCCAGTCTGTGCTGTGAATCTGAACCCTGTTCCTCTTGTCTTTGTTTCAGGCAAATCGCAAGTGGGAATGGAGCTGCTGCAGCTCTCACAGAGCCAGGACTGTGAGCCTGAGCCCAGTGGGTGCGTGGGTGACTCGGGGGAAGAGTGTTCGGGCGCTGTCCCCAGCGAGAAACCAGAGCCAGGTAGGAGGAGGATACTGATATCTGTATCTTTTCTCTGTTTTTATCCTTTCCTCCCTGGCACCCCCACTCCCCCAACCAACCACTCTAACTTGAGACCAGCTCCCTGTGTGGCAAAACCCAGCAATTTTCCCCTTGTTTCCATTCTCAATGGTGCACTTGCCACCTGGAATATTTTTGTTAAGCCGTTTTGTGGCTCCGGGGTCCCTCAGGGAGAGAGCGTTCCATTGGAACAATCCATTTCTGGGATTTTCCATGTAGGTGGGATGCATGGAATTCTCAGTTTGGTTTGGATACTCTTTAAGCACGGCGATGGTTTTTCGCATATGTCAGACACCCGGCTGATCTCCCATCTCCCCCTCGCCATCCAAATTATTTTTTTGTGGAAGAGGCAGGGGAGAAGAATCAGTGAATGCAGCAAGTATTATTGCGCCTCGTATTGATGTTAAACTGCTGGCTATCAGTCCGGTTCTCAATGATCCCCGCATGACTGCAGCGGCCTATTGACTACTTGGCAGGAAATTAGCCACACTGTGTTATGCCTGGACAGGCGGGTGAGTACACTGTAGTATCTGAAAGGAATATAGGGATGCGGTGTATATTATCTCCTGTAATCACGTCATCTCCTGATTCCTCACAGCTGCTGATGCTCGTTCTGCATCTGACCAGCAATCAACACAGAAGCCCTTAAGCAGTGAAGTTGCCGCTCAGTGCACAGCAGGGTAGGTTGGAGAAAATATATTCCTTAATCATTGTTGTGCCCAAGGAGCAGGAAGGGGGCGAGAAGTAGACCGTTGACATCCAATAAAGTACAGCTCATGTACTTCAACTCTGTGTTAGTTTACAGGATGTTTCCAAGAGCGAATAAATGGTGCCCTGCACTGTGTGGATGAAGCTCACACCCACAGGTGACATGCGTGGGTAGAGGTCTGGCCAATATGGGTATTATCCCATCTCCTTTCTCTCATCTGGGCCCTTGCCCACACACTCACAGATGAACAATTCAAAGCACAAAGAGAGCTATTCTTTGATACGTACAAAAAAAGTCCGGAATTGCTGGTTGAATTACACAATGTCAAAGAGCTGGTCAAATCTGTTTCAAATTCATTCTTTTCTAGGAACCGCAAGACTCAAAACTCCACATCTCCCTCAGGTTTTTAAAACCTAAGTTTGCTGATGCCTATCTATTACCTCTCAGTGCCTTTTCAATCCGGGTGGTTGTGGAGGGCAGGGGGGGCATCTGCTGCTCAACCCTTCACCTTGATTTCTCAATTTAAAAATAAACACAATTTGAAGAAAACTGCTATCGGAATTGTTTTGAGGCTTCTGAGAATTCTGAGGAGGCGGTGTCATACCTGACTTTGGTGTCTGTGTAAAGAGGGCTGGTTCCTCTCTCAGTGCTTCACCCTGAGCCAGCGAGCACCTTATCCATCATCTTTATGGGATTCTTTTTACATGTTGCAGGTCAGATGTGATCTCGAGTGCTCCCACCCCGTCTCTTCAGGAAAAGGTCGAAAGCAGGAAGGAGATGGCTGTACAGTTCCTGCCGGGTGGTGGCATGAAGGTTGAGGAGTCAGCGAAACTAGAGCTGAAAAATCCTGAGGTTATCCCAATACAAGAGGACCTCTTTGAGCGAAATCAATCGGGTAAGCTGACCAGAACAGGGAGTGCGATCCTTCCAGTGATTGGGTGCCAATCGACAGCAGAGAACAGATTTGCATAGCCCTAATACAGGATTTGTGGTTCCTCATCCAGCTCTGTTCAGTATAGAAGTTACATTACTGCAGCGCCGAGAGACGGGCAGTTCTTCCCTCATCCTCCTGAAGGCACTGATGGGTTTCATGTATATTTTCTGGTTTGCCCCCCCCACAGATTCCAGGAAAGTTGGAGCTACTACGGGAATGGAAAGCGCTCCGGTTGCTGCAGTAGACCATCTGGAGGTGCTTCACCTCTCTGGGCATCAGGTCCTGGCACAGGAGAGCCTGTCTGAGTAAGTCTGTCGCTGTGGGACAATTGGCCTTCTGTGCTGTAAAGCTCTGTGGTTCTAGTTAATGGTGTTGCTCTATAACCGGGAAGTGTGTGTCCCCAAGTGAGGTGATCCTTGTAATGGTTATATTCGTATGTGGATAAAAGTGAGTTTTGCACTGTTTTTTGACTCCTTTTCTGAGTAATGTTGGGGATATAGTTTTATGGGATCCAGTGGATTGCTGTACCTTGTCCAAATGGCTTTCTTGTCATGCCGCCTTTGAGTTGGCGGTAGCCTTGTTACCCCGATAGCCTTGTTACCATTCATCTGCCCAGGCTGCTGTTCTTGAGAGGATACTTGATCGTGTAGATCAGGGAAAAACATCACAGCCAAGCCTGCTCCTTACTAATGCTAGAAAACCTGCAGCTTCAGGAGAGAGGAATCTGGATAACTGGCTGATTTGCCTCTCCCTCCAGGGGCTCTGGGGCCAATAGCAGTTACGACCTCTGTCCCAGTCGGCGATCAATTCACTCTGCACTGACTGGGATCGAATCATTGCCCTCCTTTGTGTCTGCGGAAATGCCTCAGGCTGCGTGTTTACCCACTGAGATAGTAAAAGGAAAATATGCTTCAGTCCGTGTGAGACAGTCCCCTTGAGGTGATTTGCCTTAACACCTGAACTGTGTAACAGGAAACTCCGTTCAGTCACACAGTGTAATTTGCCAAACAAAAATCATACAAAACCAACTGTGTGTTAGAACTGTCACATAATAAGGCCAAAGGGGGGTGTGTGTGTGGTGGGAGGGGATGGGTGGTGATACAACCAAACCTAGACCTCAGGCTTTGAGTGAGGCAGGATTCTGAGCTGCATGTTTATTTTTATTGTAATTTTATATTTCCTTTTCCCAGAAATTCCTCCGATATCATTGCTCCATCCCAGGAGTCCTTTGGTCCCACTCCAATCATTGTTCCCGGAAGCCCGACGGAACAAGGTAAATGGAAGCTGAGCTCTTGGGAAGTTAGGAATGGGAAGAATGCCACCTAGCCCGTCAAACTTGTTCAGTCAGTTTATTAGATCTTGGCATAAAAACAGAAGTCGCTGGGAACACGCAGCAGGTCAGGCAGCATCTATGGAGAAAGGAAAATGAGTTAACATTTCAGGTCGAGAAGAAGGGAGCTGTGTTTCTTCTCTCAGCCTTGCCCTCCCCCCTTCCCCTCTTCTATAACCATTCACACATCCTCTGGGTCTTAGACGCATCTTTTCTTTTTATAATCACTCACTATTGCCTTCTATTGTCTTGCACCATCAACACCTGATCTCATCATCCTTGGTCCTCCACCTAAATTTTTCCTTTTTCTTTCCCCATCCCCTTCTCTGCTTATCCTTATAATCTGCTCCCTTTCAGCATCCTCCAGTTCTGACGAAAGATTATCAACCTGAAACGTTAACTCATTTTCCTCTCTCCACAGATGCTGCCTGGTCTGCTCCGGGTTCCCAGCGACTTCTGTTGTAATTTCAGATAATAATAAAATAATAATAAACCTTGCATTTGATACAGCGCTTTTCACGTCTTCTAGACGTCCCAAAGCGCTTCACAGAATATACTGTAAAGTGAATTGACTGCATATTTAATAATCCTTGCATTTGATATAGCGCTTTTCGCGTCGGGAGGACGTCCCAAAGCGCTTCACAGAACACACTGCAAAGTGAATTGACTGTATATTTGTGGGCGAAAGCGGCAGCCAATTGCGCACAGCAATGTCCCACAAACAGTTGTAGATCGAAAATGATCAATTTATTATTGTTTTGTTTTTTTCGGAGGGATTATTATTAGGTGTGTGGAGTAAGGAAACTTGCCCAAGGTTTCGCCCTCTGCCTGGAATTGAACTCAGGTCTCTCAGTTGCAAAGCGAGTGCTCTAACCACTGAGCTACAGGCCTCCACGGATTTCCAGTATCTGCAGTATTTTGCCTTTTATTAGATCTTGGCAGTTCTTTACATTCCATTTCCCTGCCTTTGCTCTATAATTCTTAATACTCTTATTCAGGTGGATATAAATTTACTTTACTCCACCCCACTCCCTTGGTTGTGTTTTCAGAGAAATGTGGATTTTTTTAATATATAAGCCATGACCCGCTCTGTCTTCCCTCACCTCTGTAACATCACCCGACTCCGCCACTACCTCAACCCTCAAGCCGCTGAAACTCTTGTTCATGCCTTCATCACCTCCAGGCTCGACTATGCAAACGTTCTGCTTGTCGGCCTTCCCAATTCCTCCCTCCACAGGCTGCAGATAATCCAGATCTCTGCAGCCTGTGTCCTCTCCCGCACCAAACTCCGTGACCTCATCTCCCCCCATTGGCTCCCTATCCTTCAGAGGATCCAGTTCAAGATCCTGGTCACCTAGAAAGCCCTCCAGGACCTCGCCCCACCCTACCTCTGCGACCTCCTAAACCTCTACTAACCCGCCCTCTCCCTCCGCTCAGCTGGCTCTGGCCTGCTCCACGTCCCCTGACCTACCATTGACTGGAGAGCCGTCAACCACTCTGCACCCAACCTCTGGAATTCCATCCCCCAATCACTCCTCCTCACCCCCTCCTTAGCCTCCTTCAAGTCCCGCCTCAAGACCCTCCTCTTCGACCATGCTATCAGCCACCCCCCTTTCCCTCCCTTCCCTTCTCCCCCCACTGACCCCAGCTCGGGTCTGAAATGCTGTACCCTTACTAGCGCCTTGGGACGTCCTCCCGATGTGAAAGGCGTTATACAAATGTAATCTTGTTGTTGTATAACCATATTCCCTTAATTTTTAAGCATTTAGATGTTATAGTCTAATTGTTTTTTTCGTGAAATGCATTAAAAATGCACGTTATTAATATTCACCCTGCGGTTGTAATCTACTCCCTGACAAGCAAGTCCGGATAGCCAAACCAATGTGAAAGTGGATTTGATTCCACCCTAGAACAGGCGCATTTTGGTGAGGGCGGGGGTTGGGGAGGGAAGGGGAGGTGTTGGTTTGAGCTGTCCCGTCAACAAACGTGCGACAAATCACTTAGATAAGAATTGGTTTCAATTCCTGATGCTCCTTTTTCAGGTGAAGAGCCCATGGACACCTCCCTCCCACTTGAACACACCAACCCAGCTCCGAAACGGCCGCTGGAAGAGGAGCCAATGGAAACAGATCAGACGGATGAGCCCACCCCCCAGCACCCTCAGGCTTCGACACCCATCTCCCGGAATCCGCCTGACTTCACCCCCCTACAGTCTCTACCTGTGCCAAGCCTGCCCGAACTGTCCCACGTAAGTTTGAGACTGAGGTGTTCGAAGAACCTAAAGCCCAAATGGTGGGCCGAGCGTATTCTTAAAATCCGAGTTATGTGAGATCGAATGATATTTCAGCACACAGAGAGCGGTGAGAGTGAAGTGAACTGCCCGAGAATGCGCAGAGGCAGAATCCATTGAGTTGGTCAAAAGGGATGTAGATTCCATTTAACCAACTCCTTGGAACGTTCTCCTGACGTGAAAGGTGCTATACAAATGTAAATTTGTTGTTGTAGCTGCTTTTTTGAAGTAACGTGTAGGAATGTGGAGAAAATGTAGATTTGTGACCCAGTCACCAACCATTGGGAATAATCGTTCACCGTCTGTCCTATCAAAACCTTTCAGAATTGTGAAGACCCCGTTGTATGGGCCCTCTATTCCAGTGCAAACGCTCAAAATATTTTGAGTGTATCCTCTTGGTCATAACAAACTTTTGTTATATCTCTAACTGGCCGTGTGTGTTGTGTTGCGTGTGTGTGTCTATCTAGTTCTGGGGACATCATAACTTAGTCCAGTACTCAGGTCTTTAATTTCCCATTACCTTAACTTTAACACCATAGTCTTACATTTTAAGATTGTGCAGAATTTTCAGTTAATGTCAGCAGGCGCTGCATGAATGAGCATGAAGGAAACCAAGGCAGATGGTGTCAAAAAGAGCAAACTGAAAATTCTGATCATTTTTCTTGATTTTATTTTGAAGGATATTTTGATGCCAACACCAAGCCTGACGGAGCACGCTGGAGGTGCTGGAGAGGAGAAAGCTGCTTCCGATACCATAGAAGCTCCTTCAAGGTTATCTGAGGCAGGAGGCGAAAGGGACAAAGAGAAGCAGGGGTTAGAAGTGGTGGAACAACATGAGTCAGGAAAGTGCCCGTCCAGTGAGGATACTGGGAAATCTTTCTGCTTGCAGTTGTCCTCCAGTGGGTGGTCTCAAAGGATGGATACAGGGGGTGAAGATCTGGCAGAGCTTGAAGATGACAGTCAAGCGACACAGATTGAAGAAGGAGCCTGTGAAGAACCTCCGCAGGACAAGGAGCAGTCGGACAATGGAGCCAGTATTCACCTCCAACTGACAGGTGGAAGCCAAACTGAGTCACCTAATATTTCGGCCAGTTCTAAAACATTGGAGGAGGAGGAGGAGGAGGAGAATGTTCAAGAAAGACCTGGTGTCCATTCGGATGCCGAGTGTGTCAAAGGTGAGGCTGAGACATCTGCGCGAATGGGCGGAGTTGCAAGTTTATCGGCTGTGGCAGAAAGAGAAGTAGAGGAGTGCAGCCAGACATTTCTTCAGCAGCCTTCCAGCCTTCATCAGGAAGCCTCCTCACCAGAACAAGTTGGTTTGCACGAAGAGTCGTCTTCAGCAAAGCAGATCGTCCTCGAACAGACGCCAGTGGCCAAGGCAGCAGCAGCAGGGACCTCGGAATCTCCCTCCGAGAAATGTGAACATTCGCAAGTCGATAAAAACGTGTGGGCAAACTCTCAGGAGGAAGAGTGCCTGAACCTTGCAATTTCACAAACTCAAACACAATGTACGATTGTCTGTCAAGAGACTCAGCCCAGCCAGCAGGAGGAGGAGGAGGAAGAGGAGCCCATGGAGGAGGAGATTGCTGAGCCTTCGGATGTGGTGTTAAAGGGAACACCGATTGCCAATGAAGGAAAGGCTCCGGTACTCACTCATCCAGAAAGTTCTCAATCTGCGGGCCTTGTGGTAGACTCGCAAAGACTGGAGAGCACAGATCGGCGAGTTGAAGTCAGGAGCATTTCGGAGGGTTTCAAAGCCGCTTTTGGTGGCAGTCAGAAAGGAGAGGAGGTGAGCTCCCGATCCACTGCCTCCACAATACCACAGAGACAAACGAACAGTCGAGAGGAGACTTCGGGATCTATTGAAAAGATCTGCACGGAGCCACCGGGAAAGCAAGGGGATGCCAGGCCGGTCACTGCAGACACCGCAGAGCAGCAAGAGGCCTGGGTCACACCTGGAGAGTCTGTAGTCTCGGATCAGAGGAACGTAAGCAGCCCAGCAGTGCAGGAGCCGCGGAGCTCCAGTGGCAGTCGCCAATGGGAGGTTGAGGATTTGCCGAAACCTGGAGGTGAGCTGCCACCGGAAGCCAAGCAGCCTGATACGAGCCTACAGGAGAGTGACGTGCAGCCTGAGAGTGGGCCAGGCGAGGAGCTCCAGCACTCCGTCAAGAGCCTCTCAGACAGTTCTAGCGGTGAGTAATAATAATTATTAATAATAATAATCCTTCCATTTGATATACCACCTTATCACGTCTTCAAGATGTCTCAAAGCGCTTCACAGAAGATACTGTAAAGTGAATTGACTGTATACTTTGTGGGCGAAACGCGGCAACCAATTGCGCTCAAAAGCGTCCCACAAACAGTCGCGGATTGAGTGATCAAATTTATTATTATTAAAGCCATCCGACGAGACCCCACATTGAGGTGGGGGGAGCGGGAGAGGAATTCCTGCACTGGGGAGAGGCCAGGAGCAGAGCAGCAATTGGAATATTTTGGGGAAGGATCTGTCTCGAATTATAAAGTCATTGAAATACATTTGGAGTTGTTCAGGCAAGTTTTTTTATATATAGTGTATATAATAATCCTTGTATTTGATCTATAATCTTGTCAAGTCATCGAGACGTCTCAAAGCACTTCACAAGATATGCTGTAAGGCATATCCTGTTAAAACCGTTTTGCCCACAAAATATAGTCAATTCTCTTTGAGATATATCCTTGTGAAGCGCTTGGAGACGTATCGAAGACGTGATAATGATATGTCGAATGCGAGGATTATTATTATTAAAAGTGCTTTTGTGCCCAATAATTGCTATGACCTCAGTTGACATCCACTAAGTTGGTCAAAAACAGACCAAAGGGTCAAACTTAATTCTTTTCGGGCCTGGGTTGGGTTAGATCCACACCATCCCCTGTGATTTCCCCTGAGCCATCGGGGAATGTTGGAGTGTTGTGTTGACTTTGGCCGGGGTTTGTTTTGCAGAGAACCCGTTTCACTTCAGCTTGCCCAAGGAAGGGGATGTCATCCGGCGGTCATCGACAGCTACACCCCCGCTTCTCAGCCAGATGAAGCGGGGCCCACGGCACAGCACTCCTATCGGTAGGTTTCAGGAATTATGTTGGTGCTTGCCTCAAACTTGTATCATTGATTTTTTTCTCTCTCTCTCTTTCGATCTCTACCCATCTCCTGCTCTCCCTTTATATTCCTTTCATTTGATTTCGCGTCTTGTCACCTCTTCGAAACTTCTCTTAAGCGCTTCACAGAATACACTGTAAAGTGAATTGACTGTATTATTGACTTTTTCTTTCTCTCTCTCTCTCTCTCTCTCTCTCATTCTCTCTCTTTTCAATGTTTTCTTTCTTTTCTCTTTCTTTCTCTCCCGGGACAGAGCTTGGGGACTGTGCCATGGTTACAGCCGATGTCACAACAGAGAGCACCATGACGACCAGCGCTGTTGTGGCCGATGACTGTGAGCGAGCGGCGTCGGGCTCAGAATCTGCCAATGAGGGGAAGCTGTGTCTGCGGATGAGGATGGAGACCCCGGTCCACGTGGAGAGCCAGGAGTCTGCCCTCTTCTGCCTGAAAAGTAAGCACAACGGGGCAAGTAACGAGAGAGAGAGTGTGTGTGTGTATGTACTTCTGTGCGTGTGTAATATTATTTATAGTTTTTTTAAAAAGCTATTGAATACAAAATGACATTTGTAAAGCGGGATCAGGCAGGGCGGAAGGCAGAGAGGGTAGGAGGGCGGCTGGAGGCACGGTCGAAGAGGAGGGTCTTGAGACGTTCCTCGAAGGAGGCAAGAGAGGGAGCGAGGCGAAGGTAACGTGGGATGGAGTTCCAGAGGCAGAGAGGCTGGAGGCCAGACCGCTGATGGTGGGGCGGGGTGGAGCCGGGCGGGCGGAACATGGAGCAGGCCGGAGCCTGCTGAGCGGAGGGAGCGGACAGGTCGATAAGGGGTTAGCAGGTCGGAGAGATAGAAGGGGGAAAGGCCAAAGAGGGGCCTGTCCTGAAGGTGAGGATGAGAATTTTGAACTTGGTCCTCTGAGGGATGGGGAGCCAGTGGAGCCGGGCGAGGGTGGAGCATCGTGATGGCTGTACAGCTAGTACACACAGTTACCACACAGTGTGGAATGTCTCACCGAATAGTAAACCTGTGGAACAGGCTCCCTAGGGAAATGTTGATTTCTTCAAACACAGATTAGATAGTTTTCTTTTAGGAAATAACATTATGGGACATAGGTAGTTCAGGGCATGTGTGCATGCCACCGCCAGGAAGGTGGAAGGCGAACTAGATGGACCTTGGCCTTTTTTTCGTCTGTCATTTCTTTTGTTCTTATGTCTCCTGGTGTCCTGGCCAACCCAGACTTTAACATGGGCGTGCGTGAGAGCTTTTCTGGTGCAAATGGCAGTCACATTCGCCTACCCAAACAGTCAGCAAACTTGATGGTAATTATCTTTGAATTGCAAAACGGCAAATTCTTTCTTTACCCGTTAGGGAAGTGCTGGTCAACATATCGGCCTCAAGAAGTGGCCCGTGAACATCCTGCATAGCCACCAACGCTGCAGATCTTCCCTGTAGACGGTGGTTTAAGGCCTATCTACAGGGAAAACTCCACAGTCTTTTGCATTTTTGGAACGAAAGTGCGCTTTGCTGTGCACAGAAAGGGCTGGCGAGTTTGCTTGTTGAACTAAGACAGACACTAACTACACTTGACCGTGATTACTTTTGAAGTATTTGAGACATTTTGACATAAGAAGCTCCAAAAATAACAAGTTGTGGATTTCCTTCTCTTTACAGAGCCTGCCTTGCCAGAGGGACAAACCAGCGAGCCGGTGTCCAGGTAAGTCTTTTTGTGCTTCCAACTGCACCCCTGGCTCCAGTGTGTCTGTGGACCACTTACTGTCTTGTTACTGTATATTGCGTTGAGTGAAGGAGGAAGAAAAGATGAGTCTTAAGACCCAGAGGATGTGTGAATGGTCGTAGAAAAGGGGAATCCTCCGCCACCTTCAATGTGATCCACCACCAAACACATTTATCCATCTCCCCCCCCCCCCCCCCACCTCAGCATTCTGAAGGGACCCCGTGATTCCCTGGTCTTCTCCTCCATTGCCACTAACACCTGCTCTCCCTAACCCCGGCACTTTCCCACACCAGCCCAGGAGACGCAACCACCTGCCCGTTCACCTCCTCCCACCTCACTGCCCAGGAACTCCAAACACTCCTTCCGTGTAAAACAGCAATTTCCATGGACTTCCGCCAATGTAGTTTACCGTATTCACTGCTCACGATATGGTCTCGGGGGGAGTTGTGGAAGCTCGGGGATTGCACTTGCAGACGGAACGGAAGTGTTTGGCAAAGCGATCACCCAATTTGCGGCCAGTCTCCCCGACATAGAGGAGACCGCATGGTGAGCAGCGAAGGCAGTACACTATGTTGGTAGGAGTACGTGTAAATCGCTGTCTTACCGGATTGTAGCTTCAAAAATTCCAGCTCCAAAAGAGCTCGACCTGGAAGGATACGGATGATGAACTGTATGAATTGTTTGTGTTCAGGGGCAACGTGTTCAGCCTCCCCAGCACCCAGGAGGAGGAGGACGAGGCGGCAGCCGAGGAGCTGAGGTCCTGGCAACAGCACCTGAAGCGCAGGTCACAGGGTCACATGTTGCCCAGGGACAAGGAGCAGAAAATCCATGAAACTGCGGTACAATCCATGCCCGAGGCCAGCAGCGGGCGGCCTGCCTCCCAGAGCGAGGAGGAGGCCATGGACCTGGAAGGAGGAGATCAAGGAGCGGGTGACAACCGGGGGGCTGAGGGAGGTCACACAGAAGGTGGTGACCGGGCAGAGGAGTGGCCTGCGGGGGGGAGAAGATGGGAGCGTGTACCCCGGCCTCCCCGCAGCCTCGGCACGCCGGAGGGTGGGGACCTGCGGAGTACCCGAGCAACTCTGGGCAGCTCAGGGCGGACACCGGCACCCAGACCAGCGGCCCCCCGAGCGTCCAGGCGCAGGGAGGGTATAAGCTGCCGTCCCGGGATGCCGTGGTGCAGACTGAGCCGAGCCCAGGGAGAGCGGAGACCAGGTTGAGGAGCAGCGAAGAGCGAGACACAGAATCAATCCACAGCCAGGTGCCCAGCACGGATTTAATGACTGTTACCCATTGGGCTTCTAATTGTGACACTTTCTCCACCCCCCCACGCCCCCTACCCCCCAACCAAACACACACACACACAAAACCACAGCAGAGGTGGGGACCACAGCTCCCTTCCCCAGCCGGTGACTGACGGTGAGTCAGTCTTGAGTGCATTGCACTGACCCGCAGGAACTCCTGAGGGTCGGGTCACCGTGAATCTTTTCCGGTTACCGGGCAGGAGAGGCCGATTATCAGATCTCTTTCCCGTTCTCCCCCCCCCCCCCACCCCCACCGTGTTGTTGAACTCATCAGTTTGTGCATCGCTGCTTGTGCAATGTGGAATTTCTCGCATGGCTCGAGTTAGTGAGCCCTAGGAATTTAGGCTCCTGTTGTGAATGGTGCGATATTACCGGGCTGACTTCGCTCAGCCCCCCCCTCCCACACACACACACACACATAAACACACGCGCACACGGCAGTGCCCTTCCTCCCGTCTCACTCTCACCCTGGTTGTTCAGGAGGACGAGGACTTTGAGCTGCTGCCCCCGCGCCCCGGGCGCCATCTACACCGTCATGTGCGGACAGTGCGCGAGGTGCGGACGGTGCTGACCCGGGTCATCACCGACGTCTATTACAAAGACGGGAAGGAGGTGGAGCGGAAGGTGACGGAGGTGAGCTGTGTAACGGGTGGGGGGGGGCAGGGGGCTGCTTCCTTGACAGTGCCTTCGGCCGCCTTCCCACCCCCATCCCATGCTGCCCGCCACCCCAACTCCCAGCTCGGATCCAAAAAACGCTGACTGTCCAGCGCAAGGGACATCTTTCTAACTTGAAGGGCGCTAAGCAAGTGTAATTTGCTGCTCCTGTTATAAGAGGTTGCTGAAGGCTTAATGCGTGGCTCAGAGCCACAACAACCCCCTGTCGAGTGTCTGAGTGATGCCCAGTCTGTGCTCTTGTCACTGGGACACCCAGGCGTTCTGTGTTGAGTCCTGGCTCAGAGACAGGAGGAGGCCATTGATAGTTCTCTGAAGTTCGCTTCTAACCATCGGAGCCCTCTTTTTGGACATTGACTCCGTCTTGGAGCGCTTAACAGTGGCGGAGCCCTAACGCCTCACCGAGGAGTGGGGGTGGGGGGGGGAGGCAACCGTAAGTGCGGACAATGCAGCGCTCCCCCAACCCTGCGCTGGAATGTCAGCCCGGGCTATGATCTCACAGCCCAGACATGGGGATTGAAACCTTCTTGACACAGAGATGAGAATACGGCCCCCCTGAGCCAGGCTGACCCAGCTGTGTGTGTGTTGTGTCTCTGTTGCGGTAGGAGAGCGAGGAGCCGGTGGTGGAATGCCAGGAGTACGAGAACGACATCTCCCCATCGCGCACCACCAGCTCCATGACCTCCGGTGACCTGGGCGACATCAGCTCCTTCTCCTCCAAAGCCTCCAGCCTGCTGCGGACCTCCAGCGGCACTGGGAGCCTGGCCTCCTCCTCGCACAGCGGCAGTGGGGGCTCCGGGGCCGGCCTGCAGGGGCGCGGCGCGGCCAGAGGGAGGGCCGGAGGGTCCGACACCCGGGAGTTCATCGTCCCCGTGGGCAGAGGAATCGCATCCAAACTGAGGTGGGTGAGGCCGAGCAATCAGCGGAAATCCATCAAGAGAATACAGTTCAAGATTCCGGTCCTCACCTTCAAAAGCCCTCCATGGTCTTGCTCCCCCCCCCCCCACCTCTGTGATTTCCTAACCCTCTACCAACCTGCCCGCACCCTTCGCTCAGTGGGCTCCAGCCTGCTTCACGTCCCCCCGCCTCCCCTACCCCACCATGGCGAGAGGGCCTTCAGCCACTCTGCCCCCGCCCTCTGGAATTTTATCCCTCCCGCAGTCCCTCCACCTCACTCCATCCCTTGCCTCTTTCAAGACCCATCTCAAGACCCTCTTCAACTGTGCCTTCGATCACCCTCCTCTTCCCCCCCGCCCTCCCCGATCCCCAACCCCCAGCTCGGGTTTGAAACAGCAGCTTGGGTGATCCTACCGACATGAAAGGTGTTATACAAATGTAATTTTGTTGTTGTTTTTGCTCCTCTTGGTACCCGGCTAGTGCTTCCTGAGTATTTGCTAAATAAGTCCAGTGTCCTGGCCTCTGTCACCCTCCTGGTAACCTGACCCAGCTCTGGGTTAGCCTCTTTTGTAAAGAAATGCTTCCTGGTGTTTATAATACAAGTGAAGTCCTTGCATTTGATTGAAATATCGCACCTTTCACATCGGGAGGATGTCGCAAAGGGCTTCACCAGATTCACTGTGAAAATGCAATGATTGTGCATTGTTTAGGTGAACCCAGCAGTCAATTTGTGCACAGCAACCCTTTGCTTCACAAATAACTGAAGTAAATGACCAATTGTTTCTGGTGGATTGTTGGCCAGGACTCCCAAGAGAAACTTCATTCTCTTTTCGAGTCGTGCTCTGGGATCTTTAACGATCATGTGAATGGGCAGGCCGGACCTTGGTTCATTTGAAGGACGGCACTTCAGCCTGGACCGTGGGTTCAAAGTCCCGATGTGGGGCTTGAACCCACAACCCTCTGAACTCGGAGGCGGGAGGGCTGCCAGCAACCAGCCCGACCCATTTCCCCGATTGAGGAATCTTAACTCGGCTACATGTTTTGCTTGTAGCCCAAGGAAGGCCGGAGGTCACGGGTCACCCTGCAGACACCTGCTCGCTGGTGTGGTGGAGGCTGATGGGGAGATGTCTGTGGGAAACAAGCTGAGCCCCAGGGGTACCTGTCCCCAGTCCCCCAGGGGCAGGGGGCGGAGAGGCCGGCCCCCAATCCGACCTTCTCCCGGCAGGTAAGCAACGCTCTGGCCAATTCTCACCTCGTACGTTGGAATTCCATCGCAGTGAGTGGAGTGAAAGCTGGAGACCTGGGACCTGATTCAGAATTCTCCTGGACTCGGGGGTAGAACAGGTGGATTTTATAGCTCCTTTCAATTCTAGTTCAACACTCTTAATTGTCAAGTGTAGTGACTTTTTTTTGCAGGCAACTGTGTCAGTTACTTTGTTCAAAATAAGGTCCCACAAATGGTTATGAAGTGAATGAGGATTGTTGGCCAGGCTGACAGAGGCTGCCTTCACTTATACACAATTACCGCACGTTAATTATTAATCATTAACTGTGGCTGCAGTTAGTCTGAACCCCCTTCTCCCAGGTTAGAGAAGGGGCCAAGACGTAATCTTGAGTTCTCCACTCTCAATCGCCATCTATTGCCTACCCACCCTCTCTTTTGCTGGAAGATACATTTGTGCGGACATGGGATGAGGATATGCTTGGTTGTGTTGCCAACACTCACTGTCTGTCTGACACGTGAAGCACAGCCACTCGGGTGAGGTATTGGAAAATACAGGGCCTTTGGGGAGAAGAGGAAAGAGTGGAGCCGTGTGTTAGCACAGAACTGAAGGGCAAGAGAAAGAGTTCACCAGCAGTCAGGCAGTGTGTTTCACACAGGCTTCAGCAGAGGTGGCCTGAGGAAAGGGCCGTGAAGGCAGTCAGAGGTAGAACAGGGAATCGGAGACCATTGAGAGCTGCGGCAGGGAGTCCCTCTCTTCTCACACAGCTAGCAGACAAGCTAGTGCAAGCAGCAACCTCTCCAGACTGTTCTCAGGACAGCACCTGTTCCAGCCGGTGAGACTGGGGAGAGGGGGGGAATCGATCATTGGTGGTTTTTAACACTGAAAGCGAGGTCGATCAAGAGTACTTTTAACACTGAACGGGAGAAGGCCATTCAACCCCTTGAGCCAATTCCGCCATTCTATTAGATCATGGCTGATCTGTACCTCAACTCCAATTTGCCCGCCTTTGCCCCATATTCCTTGATACCTTATGTAACAGAAATCTATCCACCTCGCCCTTTTAGGGAAGAGAGTTCCAGATTTCCACTACCCTTTGTGTGGAAACAAAATGCTCCTTGATTTCACTCCTAAATGGCCTAGCTCTAATTTTAAGATGACGCCCCCTCTGCCCATCCCCACCCCCTTGTTAACACGATTAATATAGTAAACGATTGATTGAAACCATTACTGGAGTAATTGTTGTCTTCGCCAGGCAATCCTACAGTTTGGCAGGGGTTCGGGGTGTGCTTTCTTAACCATTGCTCTTTGCCTAGCAGGGAAATGATGCAGATGCTAACTCAGGGTTCGGGAGACCACCAGTCCAGCACCCCCTCCCCCGAGGAGGAGCCCTACACCCGCATTGCCGCACGCCCCCCCGGACCAGCCGAGCGAGCCGGCCCCGCCACCCCCCGGCGTTCAGGGTCCCCGGAATTCCCACCGCCGGCCACTGCCGGGACGCAGCAAGCCTCCGGAGGGTTGTCCGCCTCCCAGAGCAGCAGCTTTGTGGGGCTGCGGGTGGTGGCCAAGTGGTCCTCCAACGGCTACTTCTACTCGGGGACCATCACCCGAGATGCCGGGGACGGCAAGTACAAGGTGCTGTTCGACGACGGCTACGAGTGCGACGTGCTGGGCAAGGACATCCTCCTGTGTGACCCCATCCCCGTGGAAACCGAGGTCACCGCTCTGTCCGACGACGAGTACTTCAGCGCCGGTAAAGCTTCCTCCCCTTCAGTGTTCAAGCGCTGTGAGACGTCTTCGTAACGCGAGAAGTGCTTTGTGTTGCTTTAGGGTTTCGGCCTCTCGGCGGTTTAAACGTTTGTTTGCCGTCCGCAAGGCTGAAATTTGCTCGTAATGCAAATAAGCCCGGTTCGGGCCTCTGCTAAGAGCTTTGAACCTTTTCCCCACGTGAAAGGCGCTAGGTGAATGCAGTCTGTTGCTGCCTCACCCATGTTGTTGCTGCCTCACAGGGGTAACTGCCCCCTGGTGCCTTGCCCATGTGTCTGTGGGTGCTGCGCTGGAGGGCTTGGGGTTCCTGACTGATCACTTGCAACTGGCAGGGTTGTGCCAGTGGGGTGGGAGGGGGCACTGTTGACACAGGGCGATCACGTTGGCTGGTCTGATTGAGCTGTGAGGCGCTGAGCCACTCGGGCCAGAGTTCAGATCTGAGCCCTGGCAACAGTCAGGGCAGCAATTTGGCCTCCAGAGACTTGTGGTAGAGGGAGGACGATGGAGTTAGAAAAGTGGATCAACTACAATTTCCCACTCCAAAAAAAAAACACCTGTCCAGGATCATCCCGAGGAATGCATCAGTATCTTCAGGAAGAGCTGGGAGGTAAGGCAGGAGGGAATCGGAATGGACAAAGCTTTACCACTCCGAGAGCAGTGTGTGGGGGTGGGGGGCAGGAACGGCTGCAGATCCGTCTGATGTGCTGTGAATGTTTTGCTGCAGGGATTGTGAAAGCGCACCGGACGGAGGCTGACGAGTTCCACTACTGCATCGAGAAGGACGGGCAGCGCACGTGGTACAAGAGGATGGCGGTGATCCTGTCCCTGGAGCAGGGAAACCGACTCCGAGAGCAGTTCGGCCTGGACCCCTGTGAGCCCACTACCCCCCTCACCATGGCCGCCGACATCAGCCTGGGTAAGACCCTCATTGGGAGAGAGGAGAGCGGGCTGGTGAGGTGGAGATTTTGTCCCCGTACGAGGGTTGTAATTGCGATGTATCCTTTCGTCCCAATTCTTCTTTCCCCCCCCCCTCCATTGTCTGGATCAAACAGCTTCCTCTCCACTGCCTCAGTCAGCACCTTAGTGTCTATGTCACGGTGCTCGGATGTCAGATGGAGCTATGCTGTATGTGTTGTCGGGCAGGGGACGCAGTTTGGTGCGTGTGCTTGTGTATGTGCGCAGTGTCCTTCTTCACAGCCGTCTTAACGACCCTCGCCCTCTGGGATTTACAGACAACCTGGTGGAGGGGAAACGCAAGCGGCGCTCCAACGCCAGCAGCACCACCCCGAGCAAGAAGCAGGCGGACACTCCGAGAGGCACCAGTGTCACCGGCAAGAGGAAGCTCATCAGCTCGGACGAGGAGAGATCTCCGGTGAAGCGTGGACGCAAACCGGCCCCAAAACTGGGTAAATACCGGAAAGTAAAAAAAACTTAATAATAAGCCTTACAACAACAACAAGATTCCATTTATAGAGAGCATTTCATGTCGGGAGGACGTCCCAAGGCGCTGGACAGTTGGGTCAGGACCCGAGCAGGGGCGAAATGGTCAGGGTGAGGGGAGGGAAGGGAGGGAGCGAGGAGGGGGAAATGGTGAGGGGAGGGGGCGAGAGTTAAGAGGGGAGCTGAAGGCTCGGTCAAAGAGAAAGGTCTTGAGACCGGCCTTGAAGGAGGAAAGGGAGGAAGCGGCGAAGGCACTGGGGGATAGAGTTCCAGAGCCTCGGGGCTGAGAGGCTGAAGGCCCGGCCACCGATGGTAGGGCGGTTGGGGCGGGGGATGTGGAGCAGACCGGAGCCAGAGGAACGGAGGGTACGGGCAGGTAGGTAGGGGGATAGTAGGTCAGAGAGGTAGGAGGGAGCGAGGCCGTGAATGGCCTTGTAGGCGAGGATGAGGATTTGAATTCGATCCTCTGGGGGATGGGGAGCCAGTGGAGATGAGCGAGGGTGGGAGTGATGTGGTCCCGAAGCCTGGTGCGGGACAGTACACGAGCTGCAGAGTTCTGAATGACCTGCAGCTTGTGGAGGGAGGTGCCCGGAAGGCCGGCGAGGAGAGAGTTCCCGTAGTCCAGGTGATAAAGGCGTGGACCAGTGTTTCAGCAGCGTGAGGGGTGAGGTAATGCCGTGGTCTGGCGATGTTTCGGAGGTGGTGGAAGGCAGTGCCAGCTGTGGCGCGGATATGAGGAAGAAAGGACAGCTCAGGGTCGAACAGAACACCGAGGTTCCTGACTGGCTTTGAGAGGTGGAGAGTGCAGCCTTGGATGCTGATGCTGTCAGCGCCTGAGGTGTGGAGGCGCTGACACGAGCCAATCAGGAGGGTCTCAGTTTTACGCACGTTGAGCTGAAGAAAGTTGTCTCTCGTCCAGGACTTACATTTGATACAGCGCCTTAGCATGTCATTGAGATGTCTCAAAGCACTTCATGGAATATATTGTAAAGTGGATTGACTGTATTTTGTGGGCAAAACACGGCAGCCAATTGCGCACAGCAGCGTCCCACAAACAGTCATAGATTGAGTGACTCAAATTTTGGAGGGATGATTACCTTCGGAAAGCGATCTGCCAATTGACTTGCATCCAGGTTCCTACTTACTGCTATATAAACAGAGGCATGTGCCTAAGGATTCGCCCCACTTGGTAATTGAACCTTGTTCCTCTTGCTTGCAAGGCAAGTGCACTAACCACTACAACGCTAGGTAAACAGATTAATAAAGAAATTTGCCTATAGGTTCGCCCTGCCCAGAAACTTGCCTTTTAATGGCACATTGTAACATCCAAATACCTCAAAAGCTTTGCAATCAATTTGGAAATGCTCTCTCCATTCAATCACCCAGTGTCAGTGTCCAGCATTCCCAGATTAGGTACAGGCATGGATTAGATTCAGAGTAAAGCTTCCTGCATCCTATCCATCCAGCATCACCCACACCTGGCCCTGGGTTTCTGCCTCCTGGTGACATTCCATTGACAACCAACACGAAACTGGGAGCAAACAGTGGTGGAGAGGATAAAACGATATTTGTTGCACTGCTTTAAGATATCTCAAGCATTTCACACTTTTAACTGGAGTGACTGTTTATCTGGTCAGTAACATACAGTTGCCCCAGGAATGGGAGAAACTCAAAATAACTACTGCAGTTTCCTGATTTCAGCCAAAACCTGCGAGTTTGCCAGCCCCTCGGAGGGAGGGGCCTCAACAGACGACTGCTCCCGCTTGGAAGTCCAGCACGGGCCGATGCCCAAGAGCTCCACGCTCTTTGTGGGCTACGCCTTCATCCTGACTGCAGCCACGGAGACGGACAGACGGACGAATAAAGGCTCTCCGAGGGACGAAAGTGCCAGTGGCGAAGAGGAGGGTAAGTAAGCCAGGAGGGGAGGTGGGGAGGGGTCTCCCATTTTCCTCTTCACCACTTGAAGGATATGCATAGAATTGCGGAGCTGTAACACAGCAGACTGTTCAGCTACGCAATTCCATGCATATCCTTCAGGTGGTGCCATTGCTCTGCGGTTTTATGCATATCCTCCAGGTAAGTGCGGCTGCTTTGCGTATCCTCCGAGTGGTGCCGTTGCCTGTTTTTAAACCCAGCTGAAAATAAGGCCGGGCAATGTTCCACATGTTTTTCTTGATAACAGTTGCTTTTCTTTCAGCAGAGTACGTGGAGACGGCTGTGTATAACAAACGTTACACGGAGGCACAGCTCCAAGCTGGGGGTGGTTATATCCTGCAGGATTTCAACGAGGCTCAGGTAATGTCGGTGTCAGATCCTCTTTGTAAGGGATCTGTAAGGGGTCTGCTCTAAATGCTCCAAAATACAATGCAAGCTCCACAGATGAGAAGCTGACGACTGCAGTTTCTATTTTTTTGTTGTGAAGAACTGTGGCCCCGTGTGAATATTGGCAGTTTGTAACAAAGCTAACCGATACCGTAATGGTTAACAGCATTTGCGCTACTGGCCAGGGTCGAACCTTAATCTGTGCTGAGTGAATTGATCTCATCAGTGTTAAGTAGGCTATCAGTGGGCTGCTTTTGGAGGGGGTAACCAGTGCCCATCAAAACCGTCACCCAACATGAGTCTGCCTTCAGTACCAGGGACAGATTTAGTTCCATTGAACGTGTTTGTATTAAGGTATTTCTTGTAATCTATTTGCGCATCATAGTTTGGATGCATTTGCTGATCTGATCTTTAACCTGTATTTCTCTGCAGTGCAAAGCTGCATTTCAGTGCTTGCTGATCGCAGACCAGCACTGCCGCACACAGAAATACTTTCTGTGCTTAGCTGGTGGAATTCCTTGCGTTTCTAACCAGTGGGTGCGGGACATCTGTTTGTCAAACCAACTGCAGCCTTACACAAATTACTTGCTGCCGGCTGGATACAGCTTGGAGGAAGACCGAATCCTGGAATGGTGAGAACCACGCTCCCATAACATCTGAACGTCACAAAAGCCCCAAGCAGGCTCGGCTTTCATTGTAAATGCATCGTGTTTGTTTTCAGGTGTTTCTGTACTGCAAGATGTTGTGCCAGTTCTTACCCTGAATGTTTTATGTGTTTTTTAATTTGAGAAACTTGGGTTTGGGTTTCAAAGAGAGGAATATTAACGGGCAGAGGGAGCGGGTAGGAGTGGGATTCGATGAGGCATCTCATGGAGAAAAACACCATTTACTTGAGGCTTGGTGATCCGGTTGTTTGCTGAAAAAAAAATTGTGATTCTTTAAGAAATGACCAAAGCTGAGAGGAATTGGAGATTTCATCCAGTCTGAAACGACTTGTAATTTTTCCTTATTTATTACAAATTTTGCTCAGACTGGATTATCAATGCTGAGATCATAAATTTCTGAGCTCGCACAAAAATAATTTAACCTTCTCACAAATCTCCGACCCTATTCCTTCTCTTTTTCCTCCCCCCATGTCTCCTTTCCCCTCCCCATCTGTTCCCTGTCCTGTCTGTCACCCCCTTTTCTCCAGGCACGCTCAGACGACCCCGTTCAGGAATATGAAAGTGTTGCTCGTTTCAGATCAGCGGGAGAACTTTCTGAACCTATGGTCGGAGATTCTGATGATGGCAGGAGCAGCCTCAGTCCGGCAACACGACTCGACAGCACAAAACAAGGGTAAGCATGAAGGAAGAGGGAAGGCCACTCCCTTGAAACTAGGGTCATCCACAACCTAACTCTTAATACAGACTCTACCCAAAACCCCAGACTCTGCTATTCCACTCTCTAAACCTGACCAACTTCCACCCAAAAACATTTCTTTAGCCCCATAGATAGGTGGGTCTGAAGATTTTAGCATCTCACTGAGTGCAGTGTATATGCTGTTTCTCTTCATTATCAGCCTAACTCAAAGATTGAGTCACGCATGATTTTGCTTTATTTTTCACTTGTTCTGATTTTCCTCTTCCCTTTGTGAATCATGGCATTGTGTGAGATGCTATCCTTTAGATGAGGCATTAAACCTAACTCCTGCCTGCTTGTTCTAGTCGTTCAGTTGGATGCCGTTTATAAGAGCAGGGAGATTCTTTCTCTTGTGGGTCCAGCTGATGTTCCTCACTCAAACAACCTTCACAAAAACAATCATTCTTTCATTGAAATGTGCACGTGTGAGGCAGTAAGAGGATGACACAAATCTTGATTTCAAGATCCTCATCCTCACCTACAAGGCCATTCACGGCCTTGCTCCCTCCTACCTCTCCAACCTACTATCCCCTACCTACCTGCCCGTACCCTCCGTTCCTCTGGCTCCGGTCTGCTCCACGTCCCCCGCCCCAACCGCCCTACTATCGGTGGTCGGGCCTTCAGCCTCTCAGCCCCGAGGCTCTGGAACTCCATCCCCCAGTGCCTTCGCCTTGCTTCCTCCCTTTCCTCCTTCAAGGCCGGTCTCAAAACCTTTCTCTTTGACCGAGCCTTCAGCTCCCCTCTCGACTCTCTTCCTCCTCCTCGCTCCCTCCCTTCCCTCACCCTGACCATTTCCCCCCTCCTCTCTCCCTCCCTTCCCTCCCCTCACCATTTCCCCCCTGCTCGGGTCATGACCCAACTGTGCAGCGCCTTGGGACGTCCTCCTGACGTGAAAGGCGCTCTATAAATGGAATCTTGTTGTTGTTGTTGTTGTTGACACTGCTGCAGTTTAGCTACTGCAGTTGCCTACTACGCATGCATCGCTTCCTCCCTTGCATCCTTCAAGGCCAGTCTCAAGACCCTTCTCTTTGACTGTGCCTTTGGTCTCCCTCCCACCTCTCTGCCTTCCCTCACCCCTCCACCATGCTCGGGCCCTTGACTGTTCAGCGCTTTGGGACGTCGTCCTGACATGAAAGGCACTCTATTAAATGTAATTTTGTTGTTGTTTTGTTATCATTACAAAGTAGCACATCAAAGCACTTTGAGATGTTTCAAGGTGATGAAGTATATCAGATGTTTGTGTTTATTTCAGATATTCCCTTGGGAATCTTTGACCTGGTGGTGACAGACACTTCCTGCCCCAGCTCACTGCTGAAGTGTGCAGAGTCGCTCGCCCTCCCTGTGGTGTCTCAGGAGTGGGTAATCCAGTGCCTGATAGTGGGAGTGAAAGTTGGCTACCGTCAGCACCCTAAATACAAACACACCTACACGTCCAGCTAAAAGTGTGGCGGCAGCAGTGGGGGGGGGGGGGGGCTGTGGGGTGGGGTCATCGTGCATTTTAGACGCTTTTAATGGTCTTGTGTTTGTAACTTGCATGTATGAAAATGTAAATAGTTTTATCGGTTGGATTTTTATTAAAACACAAATCGTTTTACCAGTTGTTCCATGCCTTTTCACCACCCTCTCTCTCTCTCTCCAGAGTGGTTTTAAATAAAAAAAATCCCCTTTTTAAATTGGCTGTTTCATTTTGGTGACATTACAAGCGGTTCATCTGAGCGATGGTTGCAGTGTGTGGCAGGATCTGTGTCGTGACCTGTTTATTACTGTGTAAAGCCGGGGTGGAACACCACCGGCTGTTCTTTGTTTTGGAGCTTGTTCTGGGATCTTGTTCTCGTCTGAACTGCAACAGTAAATGCTTTTGTGCCAGAACTTTGAGAAACACAACTTGAAGGATAAAACAGAGAGAGCGAGGAGAAAAAAAAGCCTTGTGGAAGTACACAAATAAAATACATTGTTTAAATATTTCCAAATAAATGTCAACCTTTTTATTCTTTCTCTTTTTTGCTTTACTTTGGGTAGTTCATTCACAATAGTAGTTGTAATGACATCTGTGCAGTTTATCTGTTGGGATGTACTGGTAAATCCAAGTTGTTGTTACTGGTGAGCAGCAGGTGTAGTGATGTAAGAAATACTTAAATCTATTAGAAATACTTAAAACACCTGCACAATCCCTTTGGTGACTGTTAAAACAACTGGGAAAACTACACTAAATCTGGGAGCCCAGTAAGCAAGTGTTGCAGAGACTAATAATTGCAATCAAAGTGTCTGCAGGGTTATTGTGTGGGAGGCTATCCACCTGATAGGGCTTTGACTTGTGTTCTTTGGGCTGTGTCTCTTAACGTGTTGAAGTCTCAATGCAGGGCCAAGCAGGCTGGTCATCCACTCCTATTGCCTTGAATTACTGCAGTTGAGTATGCTATTTGGAACCAATTCAATCCCACTTACATGGTCGTGTCCTCATTAATCTCAATAAGTTGTAGGATCCAAACCTGGAACCTTCTGGTTTTGCTATCCACAATATTCTCATATTGTACAACACAATTTAAAAAATTAAACTGTTCAAAACGGGCAAAACTCCATCCACTGCTGTCATGAGAGATTTAAAGCACCCCCACCACCCCATCTCCCAATTGATCCTGTGATTTTTTTAAACAATGAGTGTTGGTAAGGCTCAAGATTAAAGACTGATCTAAACTATAAACACACACAAAGTATGATTTTGTATATCTGATAACATGCAGATAAACAGTGACATTCAAGACTTCAATGTACCTGATTCAGTTCATGTTCTTTATAACATAGAGACCAAAGTCAGGGCTGACAAACACTGAAGGACAAAATCTGTGGAGTCCCCGCTATTAATCTTCAGCACAGCTGGTTGAGTTTGTGCCATTGGGGATGCCTGGAAGATCCATGTAACACCACAAAGTACTATCTGGAGCAGACAGCTGCATACCAGCTCCAGCTGGAGTATGTGTGACCATCTCATGCCATTCAAATGCTGAAGCTGAAACAAGATGTTTATTAGAGGAAGACAATGTATAAGGGTAAATATGGTAGAATCACACTTCACTTGTTTCCCCCCCCCCATGCTGAGTGCATCTGAACACTTAGCATTTCCCCACTAGAGATGCATGACAAACACCCTTTAGCTCATTTAATCCTCAATGCATACCCACAGTGCGTTGATCCCTTACCTGCCCAGAGTGCCTCCAGCCTGTGTGTAGTATTTGTTATAGTCTAGTCTCAGTAGAAGCTGGGCCAGGTCAGAGTTAATCTGGTGATTTCGAACACTGGACAGGATCTTAAATAGGAGCGATGATTGACGGCTGAAGCCCTGGATTCCAGCAACACAAAAAGTAATGTAGTTAACGCTGCAACAAGGATAAAACTAACACAGGAGTTTTTTTTATAAAAAAAACCTGTTACTCCCAGAAAGTTACGCAGCATAAAATGTAGAGGGGAAAAAGATAAAACATTAAATAGAAATAGGAAAACAATCAGAAGTGAGTAAGGCACAGACATTATGATGCTGTTCAATGGGGAAACAGCAGCTAATCTCCACCAGCACCGTTCCTCACAAAGTAATTAAAGAAAAGCCAAATTAGTGTGAAGGGAAGGCGTTAGTGAGATTGGATGAGGGAGGAATATCAGCCAGAACACTTGGAGAAACATCCTGCTCTACTCACAAACAGCATCTTGTGGGATCTTTAACATCCAATAGAATAGGCAGACAAGAATTCTAATGTAATAATAACAATAATCCTTACAGTTGATATGGCACCTTTCATATGGGGAGGACATCTGAACAGAACAGATTGTAAAGTATAGTAATTGTTCATGCTGTAGGGGAACGTCTGCATTGCATTTGAAAGACATTGTCTTTAACAATACAGCACTCCCTCAGACTGGAGGCAACATTTTTAAACCCTCGTTCAACTACAAATAGTCATATTCCAATGATTGTATCTATCTATTCCTAAATGACTAAGAAATAGAAAATATCATTTGACCAGCCTACCTTCACAAGAAGGTGCAACTGTGAGGCACCTCGATCATCTAGTGGTCCCAGGTTCTCACTTACTAGGGAACAGAAGTTATGGCATAATTCAAGGATCTCATTCAGACAATGAAACACCTAGGAGATAGGGAACAATCAGCAGGACATTATTTATTGAGTTCATTTCAGGGTCTTTACATTTTAAGTTATCATTAATTTTTCTCTTAAAAAAAAAGGGAGTAAAAAAGACTTACTGGTTTGAGCAGAATAAACGACTGAGCCAGGAGGTTACTCAGGAAGTGGTCATGTGCCAGTCGGATACTTTCAAAATCCCGAGTGGAATTGATCTGCTGGAGAAGCTGTGAGAACTGAGATTCTAGGACATCCACCTAGAACCACACAGAGCATTTCAGCAGACGGAAGTCTGGAATGATAAAGCTTCTAAAATCCAGCCTTGGAGTTCCAAACATGGATAATCTAATCAGGGTAACTATTGAAACTCTATTAAAAGCAATGATTTCTAATTCATACAATTGTTGTAGGAACTAAAAGGTTAAGTCAGTCTCAAGAGGCAACCAAGCAAGTTGTAATTAATTTCTGTTTCTGCAACATACATTCGCATGTGGATTCTCAAATAAAATACTTTCACACACATTCATACACTGACACACATTCACTTGTGAACATAAATAAACTCACGAATGTGTGTATGCAAGGACAAGCTCACAAATAAAAGCACATACACACAAACACGCACAAGACCATTCCACACACGTGAACACAACAAGCAATCACATGCAGTGTTTGAAGCTGAAGTTTTATATTCAACTCTTTTCTTCTCCAATTCGTTAAAAAATGCTTTGTTACAATAATTTGCCCTGCTTTATAAGTCTGCCCTGTTAGAACGGTTATACAATACCAAACTAAATGAATTAGAGTAAACAAAAACACATTAGGCATACACCATAGAATACAGCTTGTAAGCCTGAAAACAGAGAAAGGCTCAACTGCTAAAATGAACAACTGGTATGTTATACACTAGTACAGGGGAACAGAACTGTATCAGCTGTCCCCGGGGAATTTAAAAAGGACCGAAAGCCATCATCTCTGATGTAGGATCTTCATTCTTCAAAACTAGGCATGCTGAACATTTGCCACAATCAGGCATTTGAATGTGTGGGGGAAGCGGTTCCTTTTAAGAAGCTTTGAAGTTTCCCTTCAACCCACACATCGTTTAAAGGACTTTGTACCATCCATCCATCAAAGAACCCTTTCATTCTTGAAGAGATAGCAAAGAACCCATGAAAGATGTATCTATTTTATCCCATTACTTTGCCAAAGTGGGTGTAGATAAAGTGAAGCAAAACATTTTTGATCCCATCGACATTTCACTGTATCACAATATAACCCTATATTCAGGGTGAAACATCTTACAGTATCAAAGAAAAATGATTACAGTCATAGCTGTGTAGGTGAGCCATGAACTCAGATGACAGCCTGCCCCCCTCCGCCCCACTGTATCAGTGTGGTGTTTGCCATCTCCCACACTTGTGACCTCTCTGAGTGAGATTGACAATTTGTGCTGTGAACCCAACACCCACTAGAAACAGAGTTGAGACTGCCCCAAAACTCAATTTTTACGACCCTTACATTCAAGGAGACATTCATCCAGTCAATCAAGACTGCATTTGAACCTAATTTGCAAAGGTGAAAACCAACATTAACCCAGTCTCCTCAGATAATGTTATTTATGTAATAGTAATTTCCCTGAAATGATGGACACACCTCTCAGAAAGGGATGAAATATCCACTCATTTTGACTCCCCTCCTCCTCCCAACCCCCCCTACACACACACTGAAAGTCCAGGAGAGAATAACTAGATTAAAAAAATCATGTTGGTTTCCTGAACTAATCTTAATACACCTAGTCTAAAGCACTGTGGTTGCATGTCTTGACATGTCCTCAACGCTGCATGACACTTCCATCTGCCATTCATACATGACAGAATTTAGACATTCTCATTCTCAGCAACAAGCGTGGATATTGGTTGCACATTTAACAGGCCTTATACAAGGTTGCTGGATTACAAATATAAATTGTAAATTTTACACTGAAATGAGTTTGCCTGAGTGCTTCAACAATTTATATTCAGAAACGGTGAAACTAAAAACATCATGAGCATGAATACCAACCAATGCTGTTATTTATTCCCAAATCTCACTTACTTGTAAATAATACTGTAGGTTATCCACAAGAAATGCCATGTGGTTCCTCAATCTCCATTTGATAGCAACGGTCTTGTTGGATTTGAGGTGTTTCCGCTGCATCTGCAGAGCCCAGCAGTGCTGAAGCTCAGCCTGAACACGCCGAACACTCAATAGGTACTTAAACACAATGTTATATCTGACAAAGACAAGAGAGAGGTGATAGACCCAGAACCTAAAGGTCAATATGCAACACAAGATTAATATCTACAACATTAATACCCACTCACTAACGCTCAGTCTGAGCCAAGTCATGGTGGGGCAGCTCAAACATACAGCCCACTTTCTGATCCAAACGCCACAGAGAGAGAGAAAAAAAATAAGGTTTGAAAATGTACATAAATAAACTTACTTCTCCAGTACTGCAGGAGTAAATAGGATGTGCAAAGGCCACTGTACTTTGTAAGATAGTCCCAGAGCTGACCAGCCTGAACTGGGGACCTCGCGAGGTGAAGGGTCACGCGGGCCTGTATCTCGGCTTTGTGAGGAATCTGTATGGGTGGGTGGGGGGGGAGAAAAGGGAGGTGGGAAAATCAGAAATGATAAAATCAGAAAAAATAAAACATATTAACATTACAAACACATTGAAAGTTTCCTGCTAAAACTTGTAAGTATTCTCAGAAACTTAAAATTAAGCAAACCCAAGAGACTCTCTCTGGAGCCAGATACTTGAGCAATCCAGCCCAATCTGGGAAGATTATCAACATCAGTTCTAGCCGTGACTCAGACCAGACCTGGTTACCATGTGCATAGCAGCTAAAGTACCCTAGTACTGACTCTCCTTCCACATCCTCCCCCAAAACCAGGTTACAAACCCCACCCCAACGCGACAGTTCACAAACCTTTCACAAACAACACTCAAGAGGCTGATCTTTTAAGTTCCCTCTCTAACCCTGGTTGCCAATGAGCTTCAGCACTGCTGGGCTCTGCAGATGAGGCGAAAACATCTCACTTCTGCCTGGGACTACTTTTTCACCACTAAGTCATTGGAGGAGATAAATAATAAAGATTAACCCAAATAGAGTGATGCAATTACATCTCTTTCCATACCTTTGTGGTCCTTGCCATGATAATCGATGGTAAGGTGCAGGAGTGGAAGAAGATTGTCATCATCCAGAAGGACTTTGTGAGCAGACTTTTGAAATGCTACGTTGACATCTAACGTGGTGGAGAGAAACAAATTAAACCAATCATTTCCTTTTAGCATCAAAAATAGCACTTCCTTCAATTCTGCAGTTGGGGAGTTAGAGTACAGTAAAAATTGGGACATCTTGCATGCAGCATATCACACAAAATATTAAAGGATTCGATTTTACAGATACACAAGCTATTAATACACTAACTTTCCCCCCTAAATCCTGATCTTACATTGGGGTACAATTCAACAGGGCCCTGCTGGTACCTTGGCCATTTTTCAAGTGTTTGCCAAGACAGTGTGGACTGGCTTGTGTAATACTGTAAATAGATTCAAGGAGTTGATTATTTTACAGATACCAATGTGTGTGTATTGGGCTAAACTCACACCAGCGCCTGATCTTCTCTTCACCTGACTTCCTATATGAGTAGACTTTCAGGCCTGTGAGGTCAATGGACAGGGAACAAGAAGAGGGCTTCTGGTACCTTCCCTAACACAGCAATGTGAGAACTGCTACCCTGCCTGCAATCAATGAATTGTAACACTGTAAAAGAACACTCGAGGAAAGTGAGAAGAGATTTTTTTTATTCCTTGACGATTTCTGCACCTCATTCTAAAATAGCATAATCAACACTAAGATCCCAATGCAGAGCTTAACAAGGCATCAGACCCTCAGAATACTACTCACCTATACTCAAATCCCCTCTACCCAAAGATTAAACATCACACTTTACCATGTTCGGTGACTGCTGTTGGTGGTGTCTTCAGTAAATGCTGGGCACTGTCTAAGAAAGCCTGAAAGAGCTCCCCTCGACCAAGCAAATAAAAATCTTTGATTATCTGCAAAAGAGTACAAGGGCTCATCCAACATTGTTCAATGTTAATCTCTTCAATAGGTTATCTTTGCCTTAGTTTGTATGCAAAAGAATAAATTGGCAACATCAGAGTTAAAAAAAATCATCACAGATAAGTTTGGTAAAGAAGATAACCCATTCCAGTCCTTAGTATCCCTCAGTATTCAAATGAACGTGCTCAGTGTAACAAGTGACAGACTTTTTACCCCAAAAAACATCAGAAATCACTGTACATGCTGACCTCAGCAGTGAAGTATAGCTTTGGTCAAGAAAATGCGAGCCTGAAATTGGGAAATTATTCAGTGTTTATTGTCTCACTAGTTATTCTCACCTTGAGCTGTCCCAGCAGGTCTGCCTCATTCACCATCAGCTTCCACAGATGCTGGTTTAAACACATTTAAACACAAGGTTATTCAAAGGACAAAAGACATCACAGGAGAGGTATGGATGAAAAAACCCCTTCGGCCCATTTTGATCTTATTCTACCAACTGGTCCCACAGTAGGAGAAATGTAAATATTAAGGAACCTGTATTATTATTGTGCCTTGTATGTCAAATTATTGTCAAGTATACTGACTGTTTTTCTAGACAAATAGGAGTTATCGAGTGGGCACAAGTTAAATGCATCAACATTTCTATGATAAAAACAGGTGGATTAGAGCAAAGATGAAGCTTTAAACAAAGTAGGATTTGATGAATATGGAGTAGATCAAACAAGAAAATAATAAGAAAATAATAATAAGGTTGGACAGAAGCAAAAAGGGTGATTAGAAAGGACTGGCAGATGCTTAAAAGGTAACAGCAAAGACTTTTGGTAAAAGAGAATAGTCAAAGAAAATCATCCAGCTCTCCCAGTTGGCTCACACATAATAATAATCCTTGCATTTGATATAGCGCTTTTCACGTCTTCTAGACGTCTCAAAGCGCTTCACAGAATATGCTGTAAAGTGAATTGACTGTATATTTGTGGGCAAAACGCGGCAGCCAATTGCGCACAGCAGTGTCCCACAAACAGTCGTGGAGTGAAGTGACCAATTTATTTTTTTTTTTTCTTGAGGGATTATTATTAGGCGTGTGGAGTAAGGAAATTTAGATGTTTTATATTAATATGTAAAATATTTTATATTAATATGTTTAAATTTAACAAATAGGCTACAAACACCAATAATATGGAAGAGTATTATTCGTGCAACAAATCTTAGTTGGTGTAGAGTCTTTATATTTTGGTATAAAGAAGTTGAGCACATGGAACAGTAACGTGCCAAGATTAATATTTAGATATTTACTCAATAATTGAAATGCGTTTAACTAGAACTGCACACAAAACAGCCACCAACTTGACATAAAATGCCTGCTGCTCCAACCAATCCTTAACCATGATTCAGGCTCCTAAAGAATTTAAAATAGAAAGCTGTAGCTATTATCAACTGGAATATTATGATAAGCTTCAGATTTTAATTGCTTCTATCTTGAGTTGTGATACCATATAACTTGGTACAGAATATTTCCCTCTTGTAGTAGCAATTCTAGGACCTATTCACTTTCACTAATGTAGCTCGAAAGAGGTTGAAAAAAGTATCATGGTTCAATGACTAGGTCTGGTATTCCTTACCTCAGCAACTGTGCTTCGGATGCGATCTATCAGATTTTCAAAATCCACCAGACTGAACAGGGGCTGCTGTTTGAGCAAGTGAAGTTCTGCGGCATATATATCCTCTTGGTTTTTCAGAATTGATCCTGGAGATCACACAAGAATCATAGAATCACAGAATTATACAGCACAGAAGGAGGCCATTCGGTCTATCATGTCTATGCCGGCTTTTTGAAAAGAGCTACCCAAATCAATCCCCCATAGTCCTGCAAACTTGTCCTCCACAAATAATTATCTAGAGGGTCATAGTCACACAGAACAAAGCACTCACTCTGCCTCCTGCAAATGCGAAACCAAGAGACAATCAGTGTGACAAATTCAAGAAAGTATCTCGAGTCCCAACGAACAAATTACAAAAAAATGCAAAAATCTGCACTTTTTTTAATATCAAAATGAAGTTGTGTTTGAGAGCAACATATATCAAAACCAGGTCTCAGCTTTAATCTCTGCCAACTCTGACAGGATTGAGCAAAACAGGGTTAATATAGCCACCGGAAAACTGCTCACGAGTTACAAATGTTAGTGAGACTTGGAAGCCACGGTATTAGGGTTATATTTGGGAATTTTAGCCACCTAATATTGGTCCGTGAACAGATAGTCCTACGACTGTTAGTTCATGGTTTTGATATGATTGGAATCTCGGATTAAAGCATCATTAGAAGGACGTCATCCCCAACAATTCAGCATGCCCTCAGATTACCGTGAAACAGGAGTCTTACCTGTACGAGGATGATTTACATTCTGATTCTCAAACATCTGCACAGACTCTCCAACAAACAAGATTTTCTCTGCGACTCTCACAGGCAGGTATGAAGGTAGCATCTCCGCACGCAGTGAGAACTGCTTCAGGGATGTGGCCAGCATGTTCTCCTCTTCAATTAAACGCTAGGATAATAATAAAACACTCGTCAGCAATTAGTGCAAGTAATTGCATGAAATGCTTGTTTTTTTTTAAATCTTAATGTTACAATTCAAATATGTATAAAAGTGCTGATATACAGTACTACCAACTTGATAACTTAAATTGCTTGTTTAATGCTCTCTATGTGAAAAAAATTCTACAAACTCAAAAAGCAGTCAAATACCCAATTGGCACACGTGTCAAGGCTCACACATGACTGCTGGCTCTCTGGTTGAGAGGGTAATGCAGAGATATTCATTGACTGAGCAACTGCACACCAGTAGAAGATAAATAGGAATCAAAACAGGAGGAGAAAATTGGTGAGAAAAAAAGTTACAAGGAAGTATTGACAACTGTTATATAATACTTTTATTTTATGTTGAGTATGTACTCACAACAAGTAAGTTAGTGCTGGGAAATGGAATACTTTTCTCAGTTGGCAAACTCGGGATCGATCTCCCCTAGATGAGATTTGACAGAACCAGGTACAAAGCAATGCTCCCTCTACTGCAACCAACAGAAACCTTTTCTCTTCTCACCCAAACCACCTTTGACCCGAGTGAGCCAAACAATTTTTAGTGCCAAATACCAGGTGTTTCCGTGCTCTTTGATCATGCTTGTTGGATTCTGTCAGTCCACAGATTTGGATCCAATTAATTCAATTATTAATTGGTTTGTATCCCAGGTCCCACAATGGAACAGACATACTTATTCTTATCATATTATTCTTAATCCACCACATCACCCAGTTGTTGAAATATTTATGAATTATGTAATTATGAACAGTGATGACGTACAACAAATTAGCTCGGAGGACCTGCTCTCTGAGTGAGTGGAACAAACATCAAAAGCGACACTTTTTTTAAGCCAGGGGTACTACAGCTACAGCAGTGGAGATTAATTCACTTCTTCCACCCCGTCTGGTTCAATAACGTCTCTTGAACCACAATGCTGATGCACTGACTCAAGTATTTTAAGCATTATGCTGGTGAGACAAAAATAAACTGAAGGAAATGGAAGTGAATAATTACTTGGAGGGATTTCATGTTTAAATGAAAGCAGCACTGATGTTGCAAATTCATTGGTATCTACCAAAAATGACACAGATTATAGTGGTGCAGTATACTTTGTAAATAAAGGTACATGATTATATAATCACTCCGCTTTACCATATATCCTGAAGTGCTTTGAGAGGTCCTCTTGAAGTGAAAAGATGCTAATATCAAATATAAGGCTTATCAGAATTTACAATGTAACACAAAGATATGAATCTCTGCATCTTTCCCTGTGTTTTTGAGCCAGGTGCTATCGGGCTAATGTCACTACTACTGTGAGTCAGCAGCTGGGAGATAATCAACAATAGATTGGCAACACTTCACGTCCCCATTTTATTCTCCATGGACTTGGACTCAACTCTGCTCGGTGTCACACGGTACAGCAGCATGGTTGAAAGTAGGAACTGGGTTAAATTAGACCAAATCCTGATGAAATTGTGCAAACACGCGTTTTCAGTTGGAATATGTGCCCAGTAACATTAATTTCCTTTTTACTTGCACATCTAAGCAGTTTTACAAGTTTGTTTGCCTTTGTGACATTGTGTTGCACTCTCGGCAGTCGTGGTCCTTACCAGGTCTTGAAGCTCTCGTAACTGCTTCCCAGTTAAGCCTCGAATTCCAAGATCTTCTTCCTCTTCATCCTCTGGCTGCACGCACACGTTCCCGGACGAAGGTCCTTGTTTGATAAAGAACTCCTCGTACCGATCCAGTAACAGTCCATGTAACATCCAGGCCGACAGTTGCTTGTAGAAAACGCTATGACACACTGCCAAGATTCTGCAGCCAATCACCAGAGGAATAATAATAATAATAATCCTTGCATTTGATACAGCACCTCATCACATCTTCGAGACAACAACAACTTACACTTATACAGCATCCTCCACCAGGGTAGTGTCCCAGAGCGCTTAACAGTGGCGGAGCTTGACGCTGAGAGGGCAGGGGAGAGGTGGCCGTAAGCACGGCCAAAGAGGAAAGTTTTCTGGTGGGACTTGAAAAAGGGGAGAGAGGGGGCAAGGCAGAGGGATTGTTGAGCGGAGGCGCCGGGTGGTGAATTGGGGAGTGAAGAGGTCGGAGAGACAGAGAGGTGCCAGAGAATGAATGGATTTGGAGACGAGTGTGAGGATCTTGAAGTCGATCCGTTCGGTGATGGGGAGCCAGTGGAGCCTGGCTAGTTGTGGGTACGGAGTTTGGTTCAGGTCAGTATGCAGGCGGCAGAATTCTGACTGAGCTGGATCTTTTGAATAGTGGAGTGGGGAGACCAGCGACGAGAGATATCTCAAAGTGCTTCACAGAATATACTGTAAAATATATTTTACAAGCCACAACTCGTGGATTGAAGTGACCAATTTATTAATTTTTTTGAAGGAATTATTACCTATGGAAAAGTAATGCACCAATCGACTATCAACCGGGTTCCTACTTACTGCTAGGTAAACAGAGACATGTGAAGTGAAGAAACTTGCCCAACATTTCGCATGACCAATATGACAGATGGCCAATATGACACACTTTCCCAATATGACACATATTAAAATGTTTTTACAAATTACCCAAATTTTAATCAGCTAAATTTAGTAAAACGTAATACAGAACAAACATATTATACAAAGGATTAGTAAATTCTCAACATTGCATTTCAAATTACTGTTTTAATGCAAATTATCTCAACAACAACTTCCATTTAAACACAAGTGCTTGTCCAGCACTTTGGGACGTCCTCCCGACGTGAATGGCAAAATACACATGTAATATGTTGTTATTGCATAGTGCCCTTCAGGTGGGGTAGTGTTTTGGAGCGCTAAATAGTGACAGAGCCTGACCCCGGAGAGAGGGGAGGTAACTGTAAGAGGAAAGTCTTCAGGCTGGATCTGAAAAAGGGGAAGGAGGTGGCAAGGTGGAGAGATTGAGCGAGAGATTCCAAAGTTTCGGGGCTTAGTGGTTGAAAGCATGATTTCTGATGGTGGAGAGGACAAGGGAGGACAGAGCCAACTGGACGGAGGCTGTGGAATGGGGAGTAGGCAGGTCGCAGAGGTAGGGAGCTGCCAGGGCATGTAGGGATTTGTAGATGACTGTGAGGTTCGTAAACTCTGCAGGGACATCCACGTACCAAACACTAGCAATCTTCCCTTCACGATCTTGCCTGGTCTACAAGACAAAGAGATTTGGGGAGGGAGTTTAGGAAGCTGGAGCATAGCGACCACCAATGGTGGAACACAGAACATTTACCTACTTCTCTAGTGCACTGCGGACTGGGGGCAGGCCACCACAACTGTATTTGTGAACAGTTTCCAGGAGTTGGCAGCCATGTATCTAGAGACAAACAAAATGTGTGTAATAAAAATTAGTGTGACAGAAATTGGTATCATATCTTTTGGCTCAGAACTCAAACTTTATTCTCTACTGAATTATTGCATTCACTTTCTAAGTTATAATTTTTAACCCATCGGTCCCAGAAATTTTATGGATTTTTGTAATCAGACTGTGGGTAGCTGGGGAGGGTGTTGAGGGAACAAGCATACTTTGAGCAGTTTGGGTCGTCAATAACACTCACATTCAAGTCACATGAAACAGCTTACAGCTCATAGTTCAGACTGCCCTCCTAACACAAAACTGAGGACTGCATTTTCGGAGGTGCTGTCCTTCAGATGAGACATTAAACCAAGGCCCTTTTGCCAGTTCCTTAGGTGAATGTTAAACATCCCGCAACATGATTAGAAAAGAGAAGGGAGATTCTCCCATTGTCCAGGCCCACAATCCTCCAGATAAGTTGGGTCATTCATCTCATGACTATTTGTGTGACTTTGCTGAACTGCAAAATGCTTGCAGAAACTATGAGCTAAAAGCTGTCGTTACTGTAAAACTGGAATGAGACATTTGATTTGATAAGCAGGTTACAATTTTAAGGTTTGTGTTTCAGTAGAATGCAACTTATCATTTTAAATTACTATTGATTTCAACATATCTGAAAAGCAGCTCCATATTAAATGATTCACTGCAGTTTTATTTGTCATGGTTTCCACTGCAGTGAGTGTCTAGCTTTGTTGCAGCCTTGAAGAGCTATAGACCAACAGCAATGCACAGTAGATGAAATAGGGATTGATTTTTTAATAAAATGTCATTGTAACAATGTGTTCCATTATATTAAATCTAGAGATTGATAAAATGAGACACATTACAGAGAAACTGCATAGTAATATCAGCCTTGCTATTCATGAACATTAACATTATGCAAAACCGATTTGAGTTGAATAGTGAAATGGCCAGGAAATACTGGGATTAAAAAAAACACAACCGTGCAGGAGCTCAGAAAATAGTGGAGCAGGTATGATGGTCCCAAAGGCCAGCTCCTATCTTTATTGAGCCCATTCCTTCCATAATACACGATCTTATTGTAAACCACAAGCATTCTTAAACCCTTGAACCTCAAATATAATGGCTGACAAAAGAGACAAACAGATCCAGCACTAAGCACAAGTTAGAATGGCTTCCAATCGGGCTCACACAGAACTCTTACCTTTTGTGACTTAATTTGTTCAACCACCACCATAACAGACGGGAACAGCAGCTGAAACTAGGAATAAAATGTAACAGGCATAACAGGAGGTCAGTATTGTACCACAACACAAAATCTCAAAACTAATTGACTGAACATCCCCACATTTCTACCTTTCAGTATGACAACAGATTATTTGATACATCAGCATGGTATAAAGGGAATGCATTTTCTGCCCGTTCGACCACGAGCACTGAGTTTATTTGTTTTGCCCCGAACTGCTGCCCTCGCTGAGATTAGCCAACTCAGCACAGAACTATGAAGCAGCAATTTTCCAAAGCTTGCCAAAGGCTGTAATTACAAGTACAAATTTACATTTATATTGCACCTTTTACAAGGATGTCCCAAGGTGCTTAATAGTGCTGGCTTGGCACCCGAGCTGGGGATGGGAACCGAGTTAGGTAGGAGAGGAAAGGTAACTAAAAGTGCGATCAAACAAGTTGAGAGGCAGTAAGTTGGACGGACTCTGGGATGGAATCCCAGAGAATCGTGGTAGAAAGGCTGAAGCCCCCAATGGTGTGGCAGGTAGGGCTGGGGACATGAAGCAGCCCAATGCCTGCTGAGTGAAAGAAGCAGCTGGTTCGTTGGGATGGAGAAGCCTTCGGTATAATCTCTTTATAGAAATTTCAGTTTTTCTTTCTCAATTTCTACAATATTGTTACAGCATCATGTGCTTCTAGGACTAGATCCCACTGCTCTGTTCCAAATGCAACTATGATACTGCACCTGTGTGACATTTTCAGAATAGCCATCCTGTGCACCCTTGGAGTAAGACTGCCAATTTACAGCCACAATTACATTTCAATCAAACAAAATTGCAACAAATCTCGGACTTGCCCTTCTCCTGGGTCTTAAAAAGCACAGTACAAGAACCCTTGTAATCACAAAGCATGATTTTAGCTGTGAATTGACCCTCAACTATCCTTTCTACCCCACATCTGTATCATTATCCACTCTGCCTTCCCCCACCTCCGCAACATCACCCAGCTCCACCACTGTCTCACACCGCAGGTCGCCAAAACCCTCATACATACTTTCATTACATTGAGGCTTGACTTTGCAAACTTCTTGCTTGTCGGCCTCCCAACTCCTCCTTCCATAAGCTGCAGATCATCCAGAACTCTGCAGCCCGTGTCCTCTCCCGCACCAGGCTCCGTGACCCTATCAACCCCATACTCGCCCGACTCCACTGGCTTCCCATCACACAAAGAATCCAGTTCAAGATCCTCATCTTCAAAGCCCACCATGGTCTTGCTCCCCCCTACCTCTGCGATTTCCTAATCCCCTATCATCCTGCCCGACCCCTCCACTCAGCGGGTTCCGGCCTGTTTCACGTCCCCCACCTTGCTCTCCCCACCATTGGCACGTGGGCCTTCTGCCACTCTGCCCCCACCCTCTAGAACTCCATCCCGCAGTCCCTCTGCCTCGCCCTCTCCCTTGCCTCCTTCAAGACCCATCTGAAGACTCTCCTCTTCAACTATGCTTTTGATCATCCTGCTTCCCCCATTTCCCTCCACTCCCCAACCCCCACCTCGGGTCCAAAACTCTGACTCTCCAGCGCCTTGGGATGTCCTCCCAATGTGAAAGGCACTAAACAAATGTAACTTTGTTGTTGTTGAATTGGTGTCCCATAAAGCCTACCTTTGAAGAGAAAACTCCCCACCTGAGTCAGCCTCAATGTAATGAACCAACTTAATGCTGCTGCACTGTTTGAAAAGGGCCTCGTATATCATCAGACATCAGGAACTGGCAACAATTACAGACATTTTACTTCAAGAAGATAACGAGAAAGCGTTTATACACTTGTCCAACAATCATGATAGATGGGAGGGGGTATCAAGCCCCAATTGACTACAATAAAAGAAGCAATCCACTTCAAATCTTAAATATTTATTGTTCCAACAGAAACAGCAATGATGCATGCAACGTCCTCACAAACACACATCTGTATGTACTTTTGAAAACCCAATTTAAATAAATTTTTTAGATGCGCCCTTTCTTCATCTTCTCCAAGCAGTGCTACAGATCATATGTATTCTCCTCCCTCCCAGCAACAGTTACTTCTCCAAACCATAGACATAAATGATACTGAAATATTTAATGCAGTGCAGCACAACCTTACCTGATCCAAGGAATAATTGACATGGGAGACCGAGAGGTGTGGATCTGCCAAGAACTGAAACCAGAGAGAAGAATTTTTTTTCTAATTTTGCAACACTAGCAACCTCAAAGCACCCAGTGAATAGCAGTAGGGTATATACAAATGCTATTGATGTTGAGTGACACACCAATGATATGCCTGGTACACCCAGAGCATTTGGCACTGAGCTTCTATTAGAGCTGTCAGTACGGATCTACTTAAAGCACTGCAAAAACTAACTGAAAGGTTTTAATAATCCTATTCTTTTCACTGAGGGAGGGAAGGGTGGAAAAAATATAACAAAAGGAAAGATAGTTTGCAATATTTATACACATCTCCTACAGTGAGATCTGGGAAGCACTTAAGTTAATCTCAGGTTGTGTCACGTTCCATATTTTGTGGTTGAATAAAATGATGGATATTAAACATTTAATTCAAATCATTGTTTCTTCAAACTAAAGAACAAATTTCTTTTAAGCGCTGACTTTTTTTGAGTATGCATTTCTATGATAAAACTCATTCTAGAATACCTCCTGCTCAAGGTCAAGAAGTGCCTGTCTGTAGGGCTGCAACATGGAGTCTAACCCGGTGCAGAAAGCACGAAGGTAAATGCCATGTAATCCAGACTGGCCCGCCTGGGAGGGGTGGTGCTCCTGTTGAGATAAAGAGCAGAATCTCAGTAGTTACCCTCAACTCGAATACTGCTGCCCTCTGTTAACAACAAGTCACTAACTTCTAACCGTATCCTATTTTATAACAATTTTGTTAAATTCGTTATTGAATTAAATTGCTTTTATGTATTATGTATTTATTGAAAAGAATGACAATCATGATGAAATTTGATTATTTGCACACATTAAAAAAACCTATGTAGAAACAGAGGAAAATAAAACAACCTTGTGTGCAAAGGCTTGGACTTAATGTATCAAGTTTGAGCTTCAAAACACAGCAATTCGATTGTGCATTCATGTCACACTTGAAAGCATAACAATGAAACCAATTGTTCAAATATCTTATTAAGTTATTCTTGACATTCTGAGTATTTTGTCCTGTATAGAATTTATTTGAATACGCTCTTACCTTGAGATTTACTGTTGGAAAAATATTAATGTCATTCTTAAGTGTTTAGTACCAACGACTACGAAATTGGGTTTGTAAAAGTTAAGATGTACTTACAATGTCCTATTAAAAGCACACACAATGTAAAAGGATGCTTATGTTCAGTGTAAAGGAACTATCTGGAGATGGACCTGTCAATGTGTTACACAAATGGTTGCTTTACGGCTAGGTACATTGATCTTCTTTAAATTGCAAATTAAAGAGGAAGCAGGCTGTGCGGTGAATTATAATCTTGTCATTTCAATTGTGGGATTGGAGCTGAAAGATATCATGGGAGAAATAACAGAGAATTACATTGGACGAACAAGCGTCAACAGAAACTTGATGGACCAAATGGCCACTTCTCACAGTTCCTGCTCCTGATGTTACAATTTCTTGATGGTATTGCAGTCTGACAGTAGGAATCATATTTGTGTGTGAATCAGTCTTTACCTCGTTCCAAATATAAACAATTTCAATCTGGAAACATTTTTTTTAAAAATGTTCTTGGCATGCGGTCAACAATGTAATCTCTGGGAACACAAAATATATTTTATGGCTCATTTTTAGATTGTATATTCAGATATTATTATTGGAACTAGATTTATCAACTTTTGCAATATAACAGGGAAGGACATGGCTGACTGTGTACACAATCTACACATTGCATTTCACAAACAACCCAGTACCTGTTGGTGTACATTCACAGTATACTGCTCAATAAATTCTGTGAAACGAATGTAGTCAGTCCCTAGTTTGCACAGGCGGTTTAAAACACTGGTCTCGCTGGGATGAAGGAATGGCAGGTCCTGTGATACCTGGGTACAAAAGAAAACTAAAGCATTACAATCGCATCAATTCATCAGCATCAATGCTGAGGGGACACTTCATCGTACACAATGTTAGATTAAACCAAGATCCCATCCCATTGTTCAAAGGAGCGAAAAGATTCTGTGTGCTATTTCGAAGAAGAATTGGGAGTTCACCCAGTATTCCGGCTGATATTCGCACTCATCCTAAATAAATGTATTGGTCATTCATTTCAGTAGGTGAAATGTTACACTCTGGGACACTACCCTGTGTGAGTGAGCTATATAAATGCAAGTTGTTGTTGTTATATTGAGGTCACACAATAGCTGCCACGCTCACCCGCAGAGCGGTTACTATAGTTTTTCAGATTTCACTTTTCGGATGTCTGGTGCATCAGCCTAGACCCCCGCTCAAGTGCCAACATGAGGCTACCTCCGATCAGCAGGTTCCAGCCTGCTTCACGTCCCCCACCCCAACCCACTATGGGAGGGTGAGCCTTCAGCCTCTCTGCCCCCACCGTCTGGAAATCCACCCTATAGTCAACAACAACAACAACTTGGATTTATATAGCGCCCTCCACGCCAGACAGTGTCTCAGAGCACTTTACAGTTTCGGATACCGGGACCGAGTCAGGGGGAGGGGGAGGTGACCAAAGGCGCGGTCGAAAAGAAAGGTCTTCAGCAGAGATCTGAAAACGGGAAGGGAGGGAGCGAGACGGAGGGAGTGAGGAAGGCAGTTGCAGAGCCTCGGGGTGCAGTGACTGAAGGCATGGCCGCCGAGGGTGGAGCGGAGGACTCGGGGGGACGAGGAGGAGGCCAGACCCGGAGGAACGAAAGCAACAAGTACTGTTTTGAGGAGAGAGGTCAGAGAGGTCGGGGGGTGCAGAGGAGTGCAGGGACTTGAATACGAGGGTGAGGATCTTGAAGTGGATCCTCTCTGGGATAGGCAGCCGGTGCAGTCTGGTGAGGACTGGGGGGGATCGGGGAGCGGAGTTTGGTGCGGGTGAGAATGCGGGCGGCAGAGTTCTGAATGAGTTGGATTTTGTGGCTGGTGGTGGAGGGGAGACCGGCGAGGAGGGCGTTGCAGTAGTCCAGCCGAGAGGTGACAAAAGGCATGGGCCAGAGTTTCAGCAGCTTTTGGGTTGAGGTATTGGCGGAGACGGGCGATGCGACGGAGGTTGAAAAAAGGGACCGGATGTGGGGGAGGAAGGATAATTGGGGGTCGAATCTGACTCCCCTGAGGTTGCGTCCCTCGGCCTCGCCCCCTCCCTTGCCTCCTTCAAGATCCTCTTCTTTGACCGTGCCTTCGGCCACCCTCCTACCCTCCCACACCCCTCCAGATCCCAGCCCTTGGCTCGGGGGGGGGGGGGGGGGGGTTGGGGTGGGGGGGGAGATGGAAATCCCTGACTGTCCAGCATCTCCTGATGTGAAAGGCGCTATACAAATGGCAGGTGTTGTTGTTGTTGAACCCACAATCTTCTGAGTCAGAGCTGAGAGTGCTCCCAAGTGAGCCAGAGCCTACACTGTGGGTGGGTGGGTGGGTGCGGGGGGGGGGGGGGCAGGCCAGGCTACAGAGCCTGTATGTGTGTATGTGTGTGTGTGTGGGGGGGGGGGGGACTGGCCGAGGCTGCAGGAGCCTCTCCTGAATACCGGGCCCGGTTGCCATGACGCCGGCGGGCTCCGCTCTCACCTGAAGGCCGCTGCGTTTGTTCCAGGTGAAGACGCTGCCCGGGTAGCCGCTCAACGCCAGGAGCAGTTCGTGTATCATTTCTCGGCCGCGGCTCAGAGCCCGGTGGCGAGGCCGGTGTTGCCGCCTCCCTCCCCGGGAGCCACTCAAAGCCACCCGAAGAAAAATTACGCGGGTCCGAGAGCCGCCGGCGCCCGCCGCCGCGTGGCATCATGGGAAATGTAGCCCGGCGCCATCTTTGATGCTGGCAGGTACACCCAGCCCCGCCCCCAATGGGAAGCCGTGTGTGTGTGTGTGATGTGGGACAGACCAATAACTTGAATGGGTTTCTGTTAGTCAAACTTCTAGCATTTGGAAACTCTTCACCTCCCTCACTGTACCGTACCACCATACTGCAGCAATCCTGGGAGTTGCTCGTCTTATTTGCGATGGCGAAGAAGAATAAATTGTCGGACGAAACGCAAAATACCGCAGATGCTGGAAATCCGAAAACGAAAAACATAAGTCGCTGGGAACACTCAGCAAGTCAGGCAGCATCTATAATAATAATAATAATAATAATAATAATCTATGGAGAAAGCAAAGTGAGTCAACATTTCGGGTCCACGACCTCTCGTCAGAACTGGGGCACGTTGAGCTAGAAGGTTATGCTTGAAGGCTTAGTTGAGGAAGGGCAGGAGGAGGCTCATGTGGAGCATAAACACCGGCATAGACCAGTTGGGCCAAATGGCCTGTCTCTGTGCTGTATGTTCTAATGTTGGGAGGAAAAAGCTTTTAAGGGCTAACAGAGAGGGAGGAGGCAGGGCAAGGAAGTCAAAGGAGAAAATGGGGTAGAGGACGGGGGATAATGGGTTAAAGAGATGTTAATGATGCAAAGCAAAGGGGCGGGATTGCAACAAGGCAGGGGAATAGAGGTGTTAATACTGCAGAACAAACGGGGTGGAGGGGAAATTGCAACAAAATAGGCAGATCAGAGAGAGAAAAGCTGTGCGTTTAGATGAGAAAAGGTGGAGTGCAGGGACTTGAATGTAATAATGGTCACAGAAGAGGGGGATGGGGAATGTGAGCTGTTATGGTCTGAAATTGTTGAAATCAATATTGAGGCCAGAGGGTTATAAGGACCCTAGCAGATAAATGAGGTGCTGTTCCTCGAGCTTGCACTGTGGCTCATTGGAACAGTGTAGGAGACTGCAGATGGAGAGGTCAGAGTGCGAGTGGGAGGGAGAGTTGAAATGGAAATAAATTGTTGGAGATCAACTGAATGATACATCCATCCTTCAACCACGTTGTAATAATAACAATAATAATAATCCTCACATTTGATATAGCACCTGATCAAGTCGTTGAGACATCTCAAAGCGATTCAAAAAACTAGAATGTATATCAATAAGCATCAGTGAGAATTGAATGCCATGAGGTGCCAGAGCATTCTTCCACTCTGCTCTGCCCACCCCCTCCCATTTGAACTGATCTTGTACGGTCTCACTTCAGTTTCTGTGGTCATGGGTTTGTAGGATTTAACTGCTCCTACTTTTTAAGCTTCTAAATTAGCTATCTCATTCATAAAAGCCCAGGATGGCCATTGTGTGAAATTGACAATATCACTTGGTGGAGTAGTGGTGGGAGCTTTTCTCAGAATGGGGTAGTGACACGTTGTAAAGGGAGGTTTCCTTTGAATCTAGCTGTGAATTGGAACTGTTTGATGCTGACAACAAGATCAAGTCCAAAATGGGAAAGCTTTTCCATCAAAGCCAGGACTGTGAAGCGGCTTGGGTCATCCTCCCAAAGTAAAAAGTTCTATGTAAATGTAAATTTGTATTGTATCTTTGAGGATTCATTCAAAAAAACTAGAATGCATACTAATAAACATCAGTGAGCATTGAATGAATTGAATAATATTCTTTATAAAAGTTATGACTATAATGTATTTTCCAACAAGAATTTTGTGTTTGATGCCTTTATTGTTATAATAGGATACAAAACATTTGCAATTAATATTGAATAGGTAGTTTTTTTAATATAGTATCTTAATTGTCTGACTTTTGTTTAGTTGGAATTTTTTCTGGTTTTTGGATGAGTTTACACTGCAGTTTGGTCCTACAGCATGCTGAACTCTCCAGGGCTTCAATGGGCTTGGCCACCTCCTTCCACATCCCAGCATTTGCCTCTAAAACAAAAGCATTTTTGTTCACAGAGTATTCTTTTACGTCACCATCATCCATAGCAGATGTTCCACCGCAGACAAACACCATATCTCTGATGAGACACATCGCATGGCACACCTCCAGTTTGGTGGAATTTGGTAGTAATGGCACTCTCTTGGCAGTTTTATTTGCTTTGAATTTCTGCAAATTTACATCAATATTATGCTTGTGGCTTTGCACGCTGAGGTTGTGCTCTCCATGGAATGCTACAACTGGCCTGTGCTTAAACTCAATGGGGAAAGTCAAGCTTTGTTTCACCTCCCCAGTAATAGTGTCAAAACAATCCACCACTCCTACTCTGGAGATCCGTTCATTTATCATACACCTCCCCGTTGCTATATAGATGTACCTGTCACCTTTGGTCACAATCTCTGCACAGTCCATAGGAACACTCATTCTTCCAATAGTTGTCCACTTTTCCTTCTTCTCATCATATCTATAAATGGTCGAGATATATTTTCTGGGTGCCACACTTCCACCCACTGTATACACTAATCCATTGCATGCTATCATGGAGTGGAAAACCAATCCCATTGGAAGGTCTGGCAGCTTACTCCAAGTAGCCTTGTCAAGATCATATCTCCAGGCTGATTTTAAGCTGGCATTTTGCTCATTTGTCCCTCCTGTCACATACAAGTATTTCTGGGTGGAGACTGCACCCAAAGCTGCCGCTCTGTAAGGCATGTGAGTAACCTTGATCCACTTATTTTCATCAATAATGTATGCATAGACTCCATTGCGAAAATTGCCATCGCTACTTTGACCTCCTAGAACAAGTACCACATCCATCAGAGTTCCCTTCCGCTGAAAATGCAAGAGGCTAGTTGGGTTTTCCTGCTTACGACGGCTCAACACATCAACTATGGCGCACACAGCATTGGCATTATTCTTAATCAGCTGCTCTTCACTACTGACTTCTGAAAGCATTTCATCCGTGACTCCGTTCAAATAGATGTTGGAAAAAAGTTTTGAAAAGTGCACTTTCCTATCTTCTAAATTATGTTTTGTCCACCGTATGAGAGTCAGCAATACCTGGTCCTCATTGGCAGCATGTAGGTCTTCATCCTTGATAAGTTTTAGTAAGATATGATATGGGCATTCCAAAAATTCATTGGTGCAACAGAGGTCAAAAAATTGATCTCTGACATACGTATACACTGTGGGTGATAAATCCAATAAATCATAGTTCTCGGCTAGCATCAGAGTGTACATGTAGTTCTGTCTGTCCAGAATGAGCTCCAGGTACTCCACACAGTGTGACTTAAGTCGTTTTATCATGAAGTACTTTGCCCCCTTCAACAGGTCCTCCACGTTTTTATCAGCGATGATGATCTTGCCTGTGTAAAAATAATCCAGTAGCTGTTCCACTGACAGTGGGCTCATGTAATCTATGTCGATGGTGACCGATAGCTCATCTGAAGGCTGGATGTTGCAGCTGTAGATTAAATCTTTCACGTAGGGGCTGACTGCGGTCAGGATGTTCTGGTGAGCTGCAAATGAATGGGACCCAACATTGATCACCACATCGCAACATTCCTTCTTCTGCCTCTGAATATTAAGAGCTTGTAAGATATAAGTACTGTGTTTATGATCATCAAATTCTAATTTCATTTTTTAAAGTGGACGACAGTACCGAAGGCTCTTGAGAAGATGTGAGTCTCAGCTTTTAGATGTTGTGTGTTTGTTGTATCCAGGTAGTGATGTAAACAGAAAGAAGTGTGACCTCACAATGCACGCGCTGCCCTTAAAACATATATCTGAGTTGCAGCTTTGTGATGAATGCACCAACTTTCCGTTCAAGTACAGTGACTAAGAGTGTTCCCCCCACCCACCCATAGTCCAGTGAGTTTATCCTGTGAGTAAGCTGAGCCTTACATGGCGCCTGTGCTGAAGGAACTGACTTCAATATCCTGGGTCAGGAAGGTTTAAATCAACCAGGTACTCTGCTCCTTCTAACTATCCAATGATGCTCTGATGGAGATGTATTTGTGAATACATCTTGGGTGGAATAGATCAGCCCCTGTATTACACCTCCTGTAATCAAAAAACCTTTCCACATGGATCATAGAACTTTACATCACACTATTCAGCTCACCGTGCCTGTACAGCAGAGTATCCATTTTGGACTAAAGCTGTGCCTCAGAAAATGGAAAAAGGAGTCAAGCACCTAACAGGAGAAGGAGGGTGAAAAAAGACATTAATATTTATTTTTTAGAACAAGCTAAATTGCTGCAGGTTAAGCATGGCATTGTTGAAAATCCACGTGTGTTTTGCATAATAAGCAAGCCCTTAAAAAGCTATCATCTTATGTAATGTGCGTAAATGCCATTCATTCAATCTAATCTACCACATTCCTTGTGCCTCCAACCAAAATCAGTATTCAAAATCATTTGGACACAGCATCTTAGTAAAACATCAAAAGCCCTTTGATCTGATATCAGGGACAGCAATGTTCAGCACAGATGCAAAATTGTTTTCTTGGCTTTTTTCCTGTTTTATAACGATTATCTCATACATGGCCTTACTTTAAATGGCCATATTTGCTTTCCAATTTCAATCACTTGTTGAAGTCAATTTTAAACCATATCATACACAATTTTTACAATTCGATTTCCTTGTTGAATGTTCAGATTTGTTTTATTGACAGTTGTACCCTTTTGTTAGCCAATAATGATAATCATCATAGAAATTATAATTCTTTTATTTAATATTGCACCTATTGCATCAAACCATCTTCAAGTGCTTCTCAAGGAATTGGTGTGAACTTTTATAGAATTGTCTTTGAAGCGACAGCGGACGACTTTTTATCTGTCAAACATGTAACTGTTCTTGATGGCAGTTTGTGCATTTGTCAAATTCCAAGAAGAAATCTAAGATGCAAGGAGAGCTCTGTCAGGAATTTGTGAGTCACATCACTTAAAAACTCTGATGACCTGTGCAGATGGATTCTCCGACTTGTGTCTTTTAACCTTAATAAAGAGAGACATCAAATGCCTTATCTCACAATTGTGACATTTACGGTGTTATCAGAGAAAAAAATACGCCTAGAGCTCTGGCAACCAAACAGACTTTCAATCAATCTATATAAAGATAGCATGTGGACCAAAAAAATGTTTCTAACATTGCAACTTTTAACTTTTATACATTGTTACTTTGGTGTCCATGAGGTACCCAAGACTCATTTGTATGACAACAACAACAACTTGCACTTATATAGTGCCCTCCATGCAGGGTAGGGTCCCAGAGCGCTTAACAGTGGCGAAGCCTGACTGGCAGATGTGTTTATTGTTTATTCAAGGTGAAGGAATTACTTTGAGTAAGATTTATGTACCAGGACTCTCTACTGACTAACAGACAAATAAAGAATACGGTGGTGTTATTGCCTAAAGAATTTTTTTATAGTGTGTTCTGTGAAGCGCTTTGGGACGTCCTCCCGACGTGAAAAGTGCTCTATCAAATGCAAGGATTATTATTATTATTTTAATTGAAAAAAAGGACTATTATTTGGCGCTGATCAAGGAGAGGGTGTTAGTGTTCATCTGGCAGTGGATGGGGCATCATACTGCTCTTGAAATCATCTCTTCCAGGTGGTGTAAGGAGCAGGACCTCAATGCAATTCACATAGCCTCATCTCCCATTTATACTGCGTGCTGGGGAGCAGATGTTTTGTGGTATCAGTGTGGCATTGATCTAAAGAGCAAGGGGTCAATTAATCTGACCAGAAATTGTTCAGAAGCTATAAATTACACCAATGGCATTCTTATTTTTCCATCTCATCAACAGGAATGTTAGAGCTACCCAATAAATCAGAAATGGAGATATTAACCTTTGACAACTTAAGAATCTAATCAACATGGTGTTGAAGTGAAATTGGTACAAAGGTAGGATCTATTGAATTTATGTCACAAATAGACAGCTACTGATTTTTCCAGAGGCACAAATAAATTTCACAGAAATACATATCTAAGTGAGCCACATGTTATGGCAAGATTAATGGATAAGAATAACAAAAGAATTCAAGGCTCAACTTGTTGTAAGAACACACAATAATCTCTGGAGGGTGAGAGCCAATCTTGCTGGATGGATTGCTTTTGGTCTCTCGGTAATGCTGGACAAGAAAGCAGATAATGACTTTATGTTCTATCTTGTCTGAGAAAGTGCAATTCACAAGGGATTAGGTGGCTACACAGGTGTACCCTGGTGAGATTTTCCATTTAATTATCCTCCCCAGCTCTCCCACACAGGTGGACACCTTGGTCTGGCACCTTCTCTTGGGGTTTTGTCATTTCTGTGTGGGAACTATATACAGATGAGGAATGGTAATATTCCAAACAATCATACAAGTCTACGATGCAATATGAGGTTATTTGACCCATTGTATTAGTGCTGATGTACTTGCACAGCTAAGGTAGCCAATTTTCATAGACAGTCCAAATTGGGACTCGAAAATATAAGTAAATGTTCTAGATGAAAATTATTCACCTCCGTCTTGAAGCTGTTACACTTTGAGCCTATTCTTAGATCATTTTCAATCCAACAGATGGTTAGGTATAAGGAGCTACACAGGTGTACTATGGTGAGATTTTCCATTTAATTATCCTCCCCAGTTCTCCCACACAGATGGATACCTTGGTCTTGCACCTTCTCTTGGGTTACAAAGTAAGTAGGGGAGGTGAGTGGACAGAGAATCAAGGCTCCATCCAGGGAAGGTGTCCTTGTGTACCTCCTGGTGTCTTTTCAACAATAGTTTTAACAAGGACCTAATCTTACCCTGGTTTTTATAGCTGTTTCAGCTTTTCTGGCTTTGATTTTGCCATTTTTTACAGCAGTGGTTCACTAATATGCAACCTCCTTTAATTAGAAGGCTGAGATTGCTGGGACTGAAGCCATCTTTATGTCTGTTGTCACTGCCTGCCTAAACAAGCAATAGTTGTGGGAAGGCAAACATAATATGTGGCTTCTAACTGCTACCAGGTGTCTAGCTGGGAAGTGTTATATTCAAAGAGTGTATTTGGGGTTCAAGCTAAAGATTATTTTATTTTGAGTGGGCATTGTATCTCCTGCACAGCTGGACCACCACTAAAACAACAGTGAAATCTAGAGACCAGACAGACTGCTTTACAAAACAGGATAACATATTTAATATAGATTCATTGTTTCGAGGAACACTGAAACACAGACAGAACAAACCAACTGTACAGGAGCGATCCTAAAGTTCTATGACAGTATATGAAGCGCTAACAATCTTTTGTATTCATAATATGTCCACATAATGCTTCCTTCCAACTCTGTGGCCATCTCCTTGAAAATAGAGCTGGGGGGCCAAATGTTTGGGTTCTCTACAAGCATTTGAGCAGGAAGAAATTGCAGCCAGTGCTTCTGGGACAGTCGCAGAGTTTTCCAATCCTTGCTCCCTTCCTCACGGCACATTGTTCTCCGATGTCACACTGGGAATACACAAAAAAGAGAGCATTGCTGGGGAGAGGTTTCAGTAGTAAGGTGATGCTTTGATCTCCAATATATGGGATATAGACTTACAGCATTTGGTAATTAATTTGTAAATACACTGCAGAGAGTGAAATTGAAAGACAGACAAACTTTGATGCAAGTCACTTGCTAAGACTCTTTAACCATGAGAAATAAATTCTCAGAGGGCAAACTTCTAAAGTTATATAAGATGCTAAAGAGAATAAACCCAGAACAATACTTTTAGATACACCAGGGTAACGAGACGGGAGATTATAGAGAACATTTGAAGAGAAAATTTAGCACAGACACCAGGAAGTATTTCTTTAAATAGAGTGTAATTAACAACTTGAATGGGTTAGAAGAAAGCGATGTGCAGATCAGGGCACTGGATCCTTGGTGGTGTAATGGCAAGAGGATAAGGTGGATATTCTGAAGGATAAGATCAAAAGAACTGAATGGCCTTCTTCACCCAAATCTCTCTTGTGAACTTCACACATTATATCATTTTCATATATAATTCTCTTTTAGGATGTGGTAGATTTCAGTTGATTAGCACTGATCTGTAGATCATCATTGCACTCTAACACGTATCAGAATATAATAATATTCATTGCATTTGATATAACGCCCTATCATGTCTTGAAGACATCTCAAAGCGCTTCACAGAATATACTGTTAAGTGAATTGACTGTATATTTTGTGGGCGAAACGCAGCACCCAGTTGCGCACAGTAGTGTCCCACAAACAATTGTGGATTGAGTGACCAATTTTTTTTTAAAAAATTAAGGAATTATTATCCCCAGAAAACGGATCGCCAATGAACTAACAACCAGATTCCTACTACTTACTGCTGGGTATACAGAGGCGTATGGAGTAAGGAAACTTGCCCAACATTTCACATTAAACCCAGGTCTCCCGTTTGTGATGCAGGTGCTCTAACCACTGAGCTACAGGATTCCACATAAAAATATCAATATAAAAGGAGTGAAAAATACTCCACAGAGAGTATAATTGCACCACTTTGTCTCTTGTTAAGCATACAAATAGGTTACTACTATTGTAAATGTAGCTTCATATCTATCAGAATTACTGTAGATAACTGGAGAAACATTAGAAGAAGTTCATTCACATAGAATACGTTTGGGACCTTTTAAGCTCCATTTCTGCGGAGTAAATGGAAGATTTGTCTTCCTTATTGAAACAATTTACTTTTACAGCACCTTAATGTTGAACGATCTCTAAGAGTTTTACTTTAATACTGTCAAGTGGAGTGACTTTTTTTTTCCCAGGCAAGTGTCACAACCTGTTTTACGCACAACAAGGTCCCACAAACAATCTCCCCCTCCCCCTCCCCCTGCAAATAAAACATATTGGAGCTATAAACACAGCTAAAGGACAGTTTCTGGTAAGCTTGAGCCACATGGCGCATAAACCAAAAAAAAACTACAGAGAGAGCAAACGCATCCTTATCCAGTAGTTGGATTAGTAACGCGTTATAATACACACGAGGAATATTGCATAGATTTCAGAGACACTTACCATTTAAACCACCGTTCCCATACCCACAACTCGACCATAACATTTGCTGGGTACCGCGAGGATCTTAGATTGAATCCTTTCCTAATCAATCTAAGTATTGTAAGGATTAGTAATGTGGCAGCGAGCAAATGCCAGCTCTTTCCCCGAAAAGTGAAATGTGCAAATCGTGAAAAGGCACGATTCAGTTATATAATACACGGTTTTATTCAGTTCAGATGTTGCTTCGTTTTGCATAGTGAATATACATAAGTGTTATTCAAAACCTTGACTCATCTCTGAATGTTAATACTCTACGACTGTTTGATTGTTCATTTACGCTCTGATCCTGGTGCCCGAGAAACATTATTGCTCCTTTGATTCCATTAAACCTTAGAAACGCAGACATGTCGGCACAAAAAGGAGGGAGGGGGCATCCAGCCCATGGTATGTGTGCGTCCAGGAATAGCGCCCAGTGAGTATTATATTAAAATACTGTGCAACTCTAATATGAAGTGTGCATTCCAGTTTAACACCAAACTTACATTTGCAGCAGACAGAAATTGGACGAAGGATAACTTGGAAATACGTGCACCTGTCTCGCCTACTGGTAAGATCTAAACATGGACTTGTTACAATGTGGGTGAGATTGGCGAGGATGGAACCTACACTTTCACAACACTCAGTGTCCCCCAGAAAGATGCATGTCGTACTTTGGTTTTGAAATGTATTCCATCTTATTACCCCCTTTGGAGTTTTCGGGTTCCCTCCAATGCAACATGGAGTGAGCAGCTGTGTGAAAATCACAAATCAGAGTTCAGTTTCTATGACTATGTTTTCTTCCTGGATTCCTTTCCGATCAAGCCTGGTGGCAAAGTGGCACTCACGGTGTTTCTGCTGCTTGGAACATAACGTATTTACGGTGTTATATACCCACTGAGATTCACGGTGTCACATTTCTAAATGAAGTTATGTTGGTCTTGTTCGAAAATTTGGGAACGCCTGACAAAAGCAGTGTGTCCGCCTTTGCATCTGTCAGGGTGCTGCAACTCATGGGATTACCAGAAAGAGAGGGGGGGGGGGGGAGGAAAAAGTGAATTAAATGAATGAAAATACGAAGGAAAGTTGGTTTTACCAGCGGGAGTTGTCCAAACTTCTTCTCCCAGGTAGGAAGCCTTTTACTCTGCAGTTTCTCGAGCACTTCTTGGAGAGCTCCCAACTGCCAACAAGAGAGGAACATTGTTAGAATCCACTCACCCCCCCCAATCTAAACAATATTTATTGTTTTGTGAACGAGTCTCTGAAATGATCTGGCATTTTGGTCTTTCTCTAAAAAAAAACACCTTTTTTTAATTTCGATTTTGTTTATTTGTGCAATTCAGTAAACTAACACTCAATCTAAAATAAACGTTTGCATCTGAGACTATTTCCAACAATACTGAGATTTGGTCCAGGCGGGACGTGTGCTTTAAATTACCCCTGAAACTCTCTAATTCTATCTTTCAAGCCACCAATTCTGCCCCGTTCGTAAATTAACTGAAAGCATCGGAGAGAACCAAATGGGGTTAAGTAAGACTCATTAAAACTGCGACTCTAAGCTCCCAACCAGTCCTTCTGTCAGGGAAAATCAACCAAAAGACAGAGCGCTGTTACAGTGACGCGAGTTAATAGACCGGCAGCGACAGCAAAGAATATTTTAGAAAAGTTAGCAGACGGCAGAGGAGTTAAGCAAAAGACTGACCAGTTCCTTTTCGCTGGAAAGAGACGAATCTTTGGGGTAAAAGTTTCTCAGAGATCTGGACTCGAGTTCAGAGACTTCAGCCCCACAGGTCAGGGAGAGGAGGCTGCACACACAGGTGAGCAGGAGGAGCCGGGAGCTATCCATGGTGCTGAGGATACACACACCAATGTCAACGTGTAAGGAAGGCAGAGTCGACTCCTCAGCAAGAACTCAGGGATAGCGACAGTGCTCCGGCTTTTATATCCATCACCATGCTCCTGGTATATCAGTTTTGATTTGCTCCTCCCACGTGGCATGTGTATGGACTGGTTGCAGAGCGTGGGCGTTAGTTTCCTTTGAAATGAAATGTACATCAAGAATGTCTGCTTTTCCCATTGAACAAATAATGAAACCTCTCAGCCCAGTAGCTGGAGGCGAAGTTCGTCATCAGCATTAATAATAATGGGACTTGATGGATGGCGTGTAGAAAATGCTGCTACGTCTGCTATTACATATTTTTTAAAAAATACTGTGATATAAAGACTTGATTTGCATCAAATACCGTCCTGGCGAGTTCAGCTTGTAGTGTTGCTTATTTCAATATCAGGATAATACCTAATATGTTCATTTCGGGTTTTTTTATGCATACTTTTTTTTTAAACGAGAACCCAAAGTAAGTTTTCAAAGCAGAGGAATAAAAAAAAGGACTGAATATTTCCTTTCTTCTGGTTACCGATCATATACAGGGCTCTCCTCCAGGCTTCTGACCTGAGGTTCCTCCTCTTAGACCACGCTTTTGGTCACCCTCCTACCCCCTAGTCTCCCTGCACCTTCCTCCCTCCTGACCCAGCCCCCAGAGCCTCGGGATGTCCTCCTGACGCAAAAGGCACTGTACAAATGCAATGCGTTGTTCTTGGGGCGAGTATTTACTGGGAGAAAGAGCAGAATTTACAGAGAAGTGGTCGACTGTATGAGCACTGAAACTTTATCACAAGGGCACTCCATTAATATTTTGCAAACAGTTCTCAGTTTAGGAGTGATTTGTTTCTACATTCCCTCAATTCCCTGTTAACCTGGTTTAATTTGATCCTAATCCAGATTTACACATTATTGAGAACCAATGATGCAGATTAGCTGCTACGTTTGTTTATATAACATTTACTTTATTTCTAATCAAATATTTTGTAAATCACGTTGATGCATGTTTTTACATGAAAGGTGTTATATAAACTTGAGCTATGTCTATTGTTACACGACAAAGCTTATTAATGAATTTAGGGTTGAGCATGTTTCCTAGATATGTTTTATCAGCACATTAGCGGTTTAAATACAGTTGCTCATCCTGTTTTTATAGTTTGTGCCTTGATTAGGGTTTGGAATTGATTGCCGTGGGTAGCTATTTGAGACTGGATCAATGGAAGTATTTCAAAGACAACTGGATAAATATCTAAACAGAAAAACTGAAGAGTTGGAGAGTGGGATTAGTAAAGAAAAGGGTGATTTGACAATCCCGGCAGCAATGGCACAGACTCTATTATCCTTTTGCGCTTAAAATGTCTGTGTTTTTAAATCAGTAATATCTTTTTTGTAAGGAATGCATAATCCTGGACACATTGTGTTATCCCCAGGCGGGTTTTAGCCTGTTAATAAAATAGGGAAAGTAATTATGTTAAGGAAATCACAAGCTGAAGCTGTCATTTATTCAGTAGATTCCCCACTCCTATAGTGAAGAGAATCATGGTAGATACACTAAGGAATGAAATTGGTGCCAATTGAGGAAAGAGAGAAGAAAGGGATTTTAGAGGACCTGAGGAACAGAGAATGTAACATTCTGCATGTTTTGTCAAATAATCTTCTAACTTTGTGTGAAACAGTCTAAGAGGCTTGTTGCTGGGATACAGACAGGGAACGGCTTAGATCCCTTGTAGGTAATTACAGTCCTTTTGATTTCTTGGTTAAGCATCAAGTTTCTGAGCATCCTGATTTAAGTATTCGCAGCATGAAACAAATATTTCTAGTCATAGCAGCCTTGTCAGTGTTAAGATAAGATTGAGCCACAATTCTTTTCAAATCAATTTCTTGAGTTTCTCAGAAAAGGAAACTCAATGCCATTCAGTCTGTAAGCTATGAAGGCTTTGAGGACCTGTAAAATATCATCTTTAATATTTACATCAAATTCAGTCTTGCCACAAACAAACTTATATTTGGGCTCTGACTTCAGACCTCGATCAGCAAAATTTGAGTATCAAAATAAGCCCCAAATTCATCAGCAAAAAAAGTAAAGCATACACTTGAGAAGTGTAAATTGAACTAAACCAAAGGATGTTGTGGACTGACAGCAAAAATAGACTCCTTTTGCCAAGAGTGTTATTTCTTTCAAACCAGCCAAGCGGTTTACAGTCCATGAACAGCATGAATCAGTGCAGAAGAAAGAAAAGTAAGTTTTAATGGAGAGACAGAGAAAGTTTGATACTCCAAATTTCTCTGGTCTTAGCCTTACGCCTATTGTCCTAAGATCTAATATTGTTTAAAATTCAGGAAAATTCTTAAATTTAATTTTAGTTTAGAAGCCAGTTTTCCATTCTTCTTAAAAAGAACTGGCTTCCAAACTAAGGTTAAATTGAAGGATTTTCCAAAATATTGCAGAACCTTAAAGTTTGAGACTTTATTTGGTTAGTGTTTTACCATGCTAAAGAGTTTCCAAACCAAACTGCTGAGAATTCCAATTATGTATGGTTTCATTTGTCTGGTCTGGAGTGCACCACACTCTTCCTACAGACACAATCCTGCTTACCTAATCCTGGAGGTTCAGGCATAGATTTGGGACCCCAGGCTGTCCAATGAGGGATGACTGGAATTTTTACCAGTTACACCCACACAAATTACTATTGCAAGTACTGGCAAGATTGCTGCTGTTTATCCATCTAGACCACCCTATCTTGCACTTGTCAACCAAATCAAAGAAAGAAAGACATTTTGCTGAAGAAATCAAGTATATTTTTAAGATTCACATGTTTTCCAAAGTACTTGTTGGGACTTTGATTTGCAGGATAACAGAGCCAAGTTTGAAAAATCGCAGCCTCAGTGTCTGATCTGCCTATCCAAGTCTTGTTAATGAGCGAGGCTGGTTAGTTCATCATCAACAGTCCCTTAGAGTACTGCATGCGCATGACCAGACTATCAAAACCACCACTAGACAGACCATTATCATATTCCATTGCTGGACATGTCACTTCAGAGGTGCTCCAACATAATGTATTATTCGAGTGGGGTTCCCTTGAGTCAAAGTGCTTCCAGATACTGGAAACATCCATTTCTTAATTACGAAATCTGTTAAGAAATATTACAAAATGAATCCCAATGTATTATGGAAAACATGTGAATCTTAAAAATACACTTGATTTCTTTAGCAAAATGATTTCTTTCTTTGGTTTGTTTGACAAGCACAATGAAAGTAAAATACAGATATGATGAAACAATATCTTTTTATAGTGCATACTGAAGGAGGGAGATCGTAACGCCTACTGTTAAGTGCAGCCCCCAACCACTGATTTTAGCTCCACGGGTGGTCATTTACTTTGCAAAAAAAATATTTTTAACCGGAATTAATTACAAATCACTATGAGTTCTACAAAATAATTGCTAGGTGTATACATTTCTTCCCACAATGATGCATTTTTGAAAAGACAAAATAATGAGAATTTATTCATCATCATGACCAGTTCCTAAAAACCTTGTACAAGTCATGGATTGGTTACAAATTGCTGAAGAAAACATTTTATTGGGGGTCTAAAATATGGTGATTCTGATGGGATTCCTTAATAAGGAAATGTGAAGTGTGCCAATCCAATCTGTGGAAACTCTGCTTCGAAGCAATCTATTTTCAGTGTAGTTCCTGGAATAATGGACGGCGAATTATCAGTACGATTTCACACAGATTCCTTTCTAAGATACCCAGTTTGTCATCAGCCATCTACTGACTTGGCTCCAAAGTGACATGTAATATCAGAATTCAGTTTAATTCTTTGTGGTGTTCTTGTTAGTCCGGTTCCAGAGCTAGGTAATCATGGTATTCTAGAGCACTGTGTGCTTCTTAGTGGGACTTGGAGATGGATTCTTCCCATTCAGCTCCTGTTAACCCTGCAAGCTAATGCCCCAATGGATAGGGGTGGTCCCAGGTTTACGAGCAGAAAAAAGCTTATCAATGTTTGCAAAAATCTGTGTGACTTTAGATGGTGAACTCCAGCAGTACCCCGCTGGACTTAGCTTTTCATAACCTTTGCCTAAGCTCTCCAGGATTAGGGAACCACAGTCCATCCCTCCATGAAATGAGTGCACATTCCATACCTGACGAACAAAAATGTTGTTATATATGTACATTGGTTTGGATACTCATTAAGTATGGTGAAGAGTGATTTGTCAGATACCTTGTGATTAAGACAAAACACCATGGAGCCTAGAAATGGAAAATAACATTATGAAGATGCAACAAAATGATTGCTGAACGTATTTAGCTATTTTTAGCAAAATAATATAACTCTTAATGTACAATGAATCATTGGGTGAAATTTCATAAAGCCTACCCAATATCTACTTTATCTTCCCGTAGGAATTTTTCTTATTGCATGGATTATTCCCCCATTACCTAATAAAGGATAATGCTTTGACATTCTACTTCTGTCATATTTAATAAGCGTCTTCAAAGGTTAAACTCCTGTATGAATTACATATTGAGAAGAAACACAGTTTCGTCCTGATGCCTTTTAATGTGCTAAACTCCAGGTAAATGTACACACACAGCAGCGGATGGAGGGCTTATGACACGCAATGTGTTGTGAGTTTCAATGGATCTGTAACTGTATGGTAAACAGTGTCAACATGCTTTTGATAACTACATTAATTAACCAACTCAAAAATTGGGGTCAGAATGTTGACATCAATTCCAATCATTAATTCAGTCACTCAATAATTTAATATCTTCAAGTGCAATGTTAAAAATGGAACTGACTTTCAATTTTAATACAATTTATGCAACATCATGTTGTAAACTGGACAGCCTTCATTTACAACAACTATCAATTCACTTTACAGTCTATTCTGTGAAGCGCTTTGGGATGCCTAGAAGACGTGAAAAGCACTATATCAAATGCAAGGATTATTATTATTATAATAACAAGTTGCACTTATACAATGCCTTTCACATAGAATGAATGTCTTGAAATTGTTT